ATGGTCGGAACTCGCCACAGTGGTGAGCGATGTCGCCGCCCAGAAGCATGAAGGAAGGGGGATCGGCAGTTGTTCGAGCCAGAGCAGACATGTGTCCGACCGCATGGCCTGGCGAACTCAAGAGATAAAAGCTTCCATCGCCGTAAAAGTCATACGCGTCAAATTTGCCGATTTCCAGACCCTTGTCTTTTTTGAAGTCGATCTCTATTAACTCACGACCCTCCCAAGCTGTTTCATTGACATGCGAGTCCCTGACGGTGGGATAAGCAGGTATCATATTGCTCTTGAACCCTGGACCAACAACGAGGTCCGTTGTGCTCGGGAAGGTCTGTGGATCACCAGCATGATCAAAATGCCAATGTGACCAAATAATAGCCCCAACGTCATCTAGGCTCTGTCCGTTCTCTTGCAGAATCGAGGCAACGTCTGTTTGCACCTCAATCTTGCACCCACTCCCCTTGATACCAGCGACAAACGTCTCTGGGAGATTCTCCCAATCCTTTCGCACGCCGAGGTCAAATACAATGGTATCATATTTTGTGTTGGAGCCATGGTGCTTGATGAGGAAGGAGTATGATCCGACGTTGATAGTGTCGAAGCCTGGTACGAGAGGTTCCACAAAGGTCGATGCGGGGAACCCGCTCATGAAGCTCGTTGTGTCGATGATGTAGACTTCGACGGTATTTGGAGAATTGGGTATATCAACTGGTGGGGGTAGTCGACAGGGAGTCATGTTTCCGTTTAAACAGCAATTAAACTCTTGGTATGCCTAGAAGAATTGTTTGTCAAAAGTGACAGTTCGGTTGAGAGCCTAAATTGTCTTAATTCTGCCCATCGAGCCTTGTTCTCTTAACTTATTCAGGTGGCAGCGTCCATGGATTATCCGGGTAAGAAGCCGAAGTCGGCACACTTATCTCTACCACCCTTATTCGCGTTAGTCCCCAGTGATGGGTCAACTATTTGCGGGGTAAAGAAGCTATGTAACTCACTAGGTCTCCTTGATCCGCTTAGTCGGTAGTTCAAAGGGTCTGCAGCGGGTGCAATGGCCCGATATCCAAGTGCTGGTATCTCTTGGCTGATGCGGGGAAGTAACGGGCAAGTCGGATGATGAGATCTATCACTCATCTTATCTTCTGACGATAGCAACGATATTTAGAATATAGAGATATCGGACACGGAATTATTCCGTCGTATCTACTCGCTTCAGTGAAATAGAAGTTGGAGATTTCTAGCATGTAGTGAAAGTGCATGGGCATGGTCACTATCGAAGATATCATACATGCGGGTGTCGATTGAAGGCCATGTCGACGACGTGGCAGGATGTCACAAGCTGTTACGGCGGTTTCGTGCCTGTATAAACTCATTACGAGTTTTGGCTATTTACAAGGCGTGAAATGTGCTGTTTAATGCCTCCATAGTTCATGGTGTGCTGCTTTCAAAGATCAAAATAAACATGCTCTTCTTATTCCCTAATCTACGCAAGTCTCTTGTCTTGAGGAAGACTGTTCTTCTCCTCCTGCGTCAAATTGACATCAAAAATCTCTACCAAACCCTTGATACGCTCCTCTTCCGTCTCAAATTTCTTGACGACCTTGCGGTCACTACCAATCGTCTCCCTAACAGTATCCTTGAACAGGGTGAGGTTTCCAATAATCACCTCCTTGTCCTCATCCATAATCATCTTGGTGCAAGTGATGTACCTGGTGAAGAAAGACCGCGGGTTTGTTGACGTAAACCAAGACATGACCTCATAGTCCTGGGGTAGGAATTCTGTCTCGGTGAAGCAATACACAGGCGTCCATGTCTTTTCACTCTCCGCTGGATTGTAGCATACGTCGTAGCACCACACTTTTGTGGCGTGAGAAGGACTTGTAGCGTATGTCTCTGAGATGGAGCGTTTCTGAATGCGGATCTCCCGGGGTGCAATGCTGAGACTCTCGAAGCCATCTTGCAGCGGGAAAGGGAGGTTAGGTCCCATGGACCCCATTCCTACATCGACGCCGTACCATTCATCGCCCAGGAACACGAGAAGAAGCATATGGTTCCATCCGTCGTAAGTCGCGCTTTGGTTCTTGCGAACCTCGGGGTAGGGGCTCATGGCGCGTGATACACGACCACCGCAGTTGCGCACTTCGTAGCCAAGTGAGCGAAGAGCTGTGCCGAGAAAGATGTTGTTCTCCATACATCGCCCTCCTCGACGTCGCATTACGATCTTGGTGTATAGCTCCGTAGGGTCTAGAGTGACGATCTTATGAGGATCATAGTGAAGGACGAGGTTCTCAAAAGGGACATTGCATGTGTGATAGCGAGTTATGGCTTGCAGCAGAGGAAGGCCATGTTCTTTTGTCCGGGCCAGCGAGGGGTCTTTCAACACGCTGTTGCCAAGGTCTAGAAACCTCTGAGGAAACCTGAGAGTTTTGAAGTAATCTTGCAGCTCAGAGGGAGTGTATCGCACTCGGGCAGGCTCGTCAGGGAGCTGAGTGAGGGCAGTTGGATCCTCGAGACGCGCCATGGTTTGAGTGACGGTGGAATAAGCGGAGATGATAAAATAATCGTTAATCACTTGATACAATTCGATGTCTCCAACTCTTGCATAACAACATTGAAGTATTATACAAGATGCTATCTAATAGTCGGACCGAAGCTCCGCAATTACGATCCGGTAGATAGCGATTAGTTGTCATCAGGTAAGACTAGTCAAGCCTGCAAGGACTGCACGGTTCGTCATAAAGCGGGGTACGTCGGGGAGTTAGATCGGCTCATTTCCGCAGGGATAATGTTACACCACACTGGCGCAAGTTCAGACTCTACGAGGGCAACAAGCTTTCATTCATTGATAGTAGATAAACTTGAGGTGAAGTTGAGATAGATTTAAGATAAATCTTAGATAAATTTAAGATAAATCTTAGATAAGCTTCAGATAAGCTTATAATACAAATGGATTTTTCTGTTTCAACAATCAGGGTTCTTGTTAATATTCTACATGTAGTCCTAGCGTGAAAGGTTAAGCGAGCTCTCAAGATGAATCGCTGTCGTCAAGTTCAAGTGAAGTTACACCAGCACTGCCAAGCTATCATCGATTCAATTCATTTCAATTCAATACATCATAAGCCGTATAAATCCGCCAGATCCTTACACTAGCCACCTCACCCTCCACAAGGAAAACCCTCCCATAGGCCATTCACAAAACTCATGCCATCAACAGGAGATTGATTAAAATGATCAAAAATCGCCGGATCAAACATTTCCGATGCAAAAAGCTGAAAAGGGTCCATGTTATCGAGATTAAAAGACATGGCGTCCGCAGAACCAGTAGAGTTTGACCCGTTGTCGTGAATCGAAGCCGATCCAGCATCTGGAGCAGTTTCTAACGTTAGATCCTTGTTAATAAAAGTGACCAGAAAGGAAGAGTGTTGATGACGAACCTCTTATGCCGCACATTCGCGAGAGTCTACGGATGTATTCCAGACAACTCAGCACGAGACTATTCTCGTGATCCAAGTTGAGAAATATCGTTTCTGCTTTGCTGAGGAGGAACCTCATGTGACTGGCTGATGCTTCGTCTACTACAGTGTCTCCATGCTGTGCCCAGAGTAATCGCCCGCATATCACCAGTGAAGCAGTGAATACTAGATGAAGGAATCAGCAGGCGACTCAAAACATACTTAAGAGGTAAGCTTACCGTAGTAGAGCGTGAAATACCATACTCCGAGGTTATTCTTGCTCGTTGCATCTACACTGATGACGGAATGGACAATGTCAATTGTTAGCTGTGCGGAGCGAACACATTCATGCGCCTCCGCCATGGCGAGCTGTACCAAGTACGATGAACCGTCATTCGCTACGTCACCATGTCGGAACAAGTGTCGAATCGTAGCGCTTAGCAGTGGTTTATGTATCAGAATACTCAGATTATGATACCTCATCGTGAGAATCACGCGAAGCCTGTTCGCTTTTGTGTTTTGCAAAAGAGCATCCGACTCGGCATCGCATAATTGAAGATGTGGAGGAAGATTCGCCGCCCAGAGTCGGAGTTGCTTGCGGAGCTCGCCTGAGGCTTTGAGATGGGCCATTTCGTCGGGATCCGAGTCGTGGTCGAGGTTTGCGCCGTACTGGATGACCAGAGACTTGCTCATCACCTGATACATCTTGAAAGACACGGCCAAGAAATCGCCTGGTAGATCAGTGGCATCGCCAGAATTTGCTGGTGACCATCCAGATGCGAGCTCTCGCCTTATCATCTGCTCATCTGGTATGCTCGCGGGCCTCCCTACAGCTGTGCTTAGTACCTTGTCAAGACAGTATATGACCACCCAAGTCCGGCGGCGATACTCTTTCTGTACAGGATCAAGCGCCCTTTCAGTGGACTCGGTATGAAGCCCCAGCGCCATGGCTGATCGAATAACGAGGCCGTAGTTGTTCCAGGCCTGCACAGAGCGTGAAGTTCCCTGGCAGTGAAGAACGACCAAGATCAGATAATGAACTATCTCAAGACTTATGACGCGCTTGGATAGCTCATTGCAGAGACCCAGGGCTCTTTTGTAGAAGATGTTGGACCTCTCGAAGCGCTTCTTGGACGATGTGGTGTAGTCCCTGTCAAAGTTGCTCGCCATGGCGAATACCATGTTCAGAGTTCCAAGCCACGTTCTGCGAGCTCTCGTGAAGCCGTTGAGTCTGCATTCATTGTATGTGTTCCTCATCGTTTCCTCGTGGATGAAGGGGAAGACAACGCCAGCTGTATCAAAGTACAGATCGAGCAGAGTGTCCATCTCCTCGACAGATGGCAGGGCGGTAGGTAGTGAGTCTATCGGCGTCGCTGTGCCTCCTACAGAACCTTTGCTCTGGGAGACACTAGCTACAACACTCTCTCCCAAGACAGAAGCTCTGTCGAGCCCCGACGGTGCGCCCGGTGAGTGGTGCGCGACCGCGATGGCGCGGAGAAGCAGTTGCGTAAAGTTAATGTTGGAGGCTTCGCCATAAAACGCCGATGTCTTTTCCTCGACAAACGTCATGGCCATTCCATTGGGGATGCCTTCCTCGTCCTGAGGTTCTTCGAGGCTCGTAGCACAAGTCCCCGTACCTGCTCCGGAGGGCGCTGACGCTTTCGTCGGCGCAGTCGGTGCAGGTGAGGGCATAGACTGACCAACGTTGATGTTTCCATGGTGACATGGAGAGGTATTTGCGTTAGTGCAAGGCGAGAGATGACCCTTGAGGACATCGTTCAATCGCTGGAGATTATGCTCGACAGAGCTGACACGCTGTTCGAGGTCGGTGACGTAGTCCTTGCGAACAATGACATTGGTGGCAGAGTCACCAGGCTCGTACATGCAGTCGAAGCCAAGGGTCAGGCACGAGGAGCACGAGGGGCGCTGTCCATCGCATCTACAGTCATGTCAGCCGTGGTTCCGGAAGGGATAGCACGCACACAGGGTGGTATGGTATACCTCGACTTGCGTGAGCGACAGGCATTACATGCTAAGCCAATGCGTCTTCTCTTGTTTGTCGGTGGACCCGTCTCAGATTGATCCTGCTCCTGGTCTGATGGTTTCCTAGGCTGTTCTGGCATCACGTAACGCGCGAGCTAACACGAGAGTACAAAATGTGGGGTTGGAATATGGGATGGAAGAGAAGGGTAAAGGAGCCGGCGATGCCGGGTTCATCGGGGAAGCGAGCGAAACTGAACAGTATTATAGAGAGGTCGACGGGACCTAGCGGGGTATCTCGGCCTAGAGCCCGGTCTTATCAGCGATACGTTATCGGGGTCCAGTGAAGTCTAGGCTCTGAGCCCCATGATTATAGTGGGCTTGTGACTTGGATTAGGTACAGGCAACAATGGATGTTTAGTTCAGGCGGGGGCATGCTCAAATGCTGGCCCAATGGCCAGGGTCGTGAAGGAACTGAATGCTCTATATGACGCGGAGTCGGCGAGATATATATTAGATTACATATAACCTCTTCTCAAGTACTATACCAGAGTGAAATTCAAGTGCTTTTCTGTATCTAGGTATCACACTTACTTCTTAGCTGATTACTACCTTATGAATTGGGATCTAGCTATACAGGGTAGCGGATTAGTCTTTTAAGCATTGCACTTGTTATATGCCATAAACTAATAGTTATTAGCAGCATTGACATATATATTTAAATAGAATAGGAGACTATCTGTGGTAATTCTAGAATTATTTTACAGATAATTAGCATGTTTTAGTGATTTGCTTTTCCTTCTGTACCCTCAAGCCCCGAATTGACAAGCTTCCAAAACTCAACACCATCTTCCCATAAATTATCTTCCCATACATCAGTCTCACCATCACTTCTCCATCTTCTCATACCTTTAGGATTCTTAGTCCCCCAATTGACTTCATCGCCTTTCAAAAACGCCGCAAAACCCTCATTCCAGCCTTTCAACCACTTCTTCTCCTGATCGTTCAGACCGTTAGTATACCCGCACCCCCACAACCAAACAGGAATGTCAGTGAGATGTGTAACTCCCCACTCAGATGGAATCGTCTCCGCTACGCAATCGAGCCTTCTCTCAAATCGATAGCGTAAAACATCTCTACCAGCTCCAAGACCACCTGCGAACAAGGCGTTGTGGAAGCCGCGCTGAAGATAGTGGACTTGAATATTGGCGTAGACGCGCCCGAAGAAGTCCTCCCAGTTATCGTACCCCGCTGGTAAGCTCCTCGAGGATCCGCAGTAGTGGTCCATGATCTTTTGGGTGACTTTTGGGGAGAAATCAGCTAAGAGTCTTTGATACACGGCGGAATAAGACTCTTGAGGAGTGCGCCAGCGACGGTACATGATATGCTCACTCTCGCACTCTCCGTTGATTAGTCTTATCCCACGAATCTTCATTCTTTTGGCGAATTCCCCATTGTTGATTTCATCCATCAGCTCAACAGGATAGAAAATGTCATCTGCCAAGACTCGAAATTCTGATATTCTCATTCCGGTTTGGACTTGGACGAGTCTATCATGAGGAACAGCTCGGAGACTGGCCAGTTTCTCATCATCTGAAAGATCCAGATTAATGCCGAGCCTCTTGAGTAACTCGTCACACTGTAGTTGTTGATCCTGCAAATCTTTGGGCATGACACCTGCACTGTTGGAGAACATTGCCACTCGTCTTATGATTGCCTTTTCTTCTGGAACGCGAAATAGCTCATGAGCTAGTTGTTGAAAGGTCGAGTATGCGCCAGCTGAGTAACCAGCTACTGTGATATTTGCAGGGTCACCGCCAAAGAATCCTATGTTCTCGTGCGTCCATTCCAAAGCTATTCTCTGATCCCATAGACCGTAATTTCCGGTAGCTTCTCCATTAGAGCTCGCTTCGGCGGCCAATGCCTTGCTCGCGAGAAACCCAAAGACATTGAGCCTATATGATGGCAGGACCATAATTGCCCGAAATGCAGATTCGCTCAAAAGCGACACTAGGTCTTCTGGCTTTGTGTTGCTCGTACCGACTTGGAGGAAACCCCCATGGATATAGAAACACACTGGCCATCCATTCTTAGGAGGAGGACCAGCAGGCACCCAGATGTTTAGTTGGAGGCAATCTTCGCTAATGACAGAAGGGTCGGGCGTGTTACTGCTGGGAGGTTGGGGGCAGACCTTGGAACCATCTGTGAACTTGCCTGGCTCTGTTGCTGTGCCGTATCGGTAATCCTTGGGGAGCCGCCGGGGGACACGGAAGCGCCACTGTCCAACCGGGGGCAGAGCGTATGGTAGAGCGCCAAAGTAGTGCACGGCTGGAGAACCATGGGAGGTGATGGTTAAGCCCTCGATGTGTCCCAAGGACCCTGCATTGAAGATGTAGCTCTCTCGGTTGTAGTTGTCAAACATGGTGATCAAAGTGGAACGAACAAGGATAAAATTGCATACACGATTAACGGACTCTAATATCAGCTATCTAATTATTGTTGGGGCTTCGCCTTTACTTGGATCAACAATTCGACCACCTAATACCCTCGTTTGTTCGTCGGCGGATCAGATGCCGAGACTGTCGGAACTACTTCTACAGGCCGATTTTGCGTATCCGATCACCCGCGTTAGCTAATTCCACGTTAGAGGAATCACAAGTCGGCATTTTACCAAGTGACCCGCTCGGTCCCCGCCGATTCCCCGATAGCGCTGCTCAACATTTGGGACGAGTCTCTTAGGCTTGACCTGAAGCCATTTGAAAAGACGTCGCAGAGTCTGCCTCAGCATGTTCACGGCATATCCTCATCTTATCTAATCTGTCGACAATGACCATCACTCTACATCGTACTGCCTTCCTTGAGGCTATCCTCAAGCATGACGGGTCCTCGGTTGCTGTAGTGGAGAACGAGTCTGGCGCAAGCTTCTCCTATAGTTCATTGCTTAATAGCGTTGCGCGCGCCAAAGAGCAGTTACTGGCCAAGACGGGGAAATGCGATACTAGTATTTCTGGCGAGAGAATTGCTTTCTTAGTAGAAAGTGGCTATGAATATGTTGGTATGTCTCTGTCTCTATACTCTACCCTCGCCACCACCGTGTCTTGTGCTTAGCACTAATCTGGACCCAGTGACACTCTTGACCATTCTCGCGTGCAATGCCATTGCTGTGCCACTGGCCCCTTCTTTCCCCGCGCCTGAACTAAGATACATCATCAATAACAGCGAGGCCCTCGCTCTCATTTCTTCAGCCAAGTATGTTTCCAAGGCCGAGGAAGTACTCGCGGAGGGCTTGGACAACACCCCCTTGTTCTGCCAACTCGATGGAACGCGAAATGTCTCTAAGATTGAGGAAGAAGTCAAGTTGCGCGACTTCTCAGATGAGCCTCGCGGCGGCATGATGCTCTTCACCTCGGGAACTACTGCACGACCAAAGGGTGTCGTTCTGTCCCAGACAAACCTCACAGCTCAGGCAAAGTGTCTTCTAGAAGCATGGAAATATGCTCCCAGCGATAGACTCTTGCATGTCTTGCCACTTCACCACATCCACGGCACCGTCAACGCCCTTCTCACACCACTGCTGGCCGGTAGCAGCATTGAGTTCATGTACCCGTTCAACGTGAACTCAGTCTGGACACGACTGGCTGCCCCCTTCTTAGAGACTGAGCAAGTAAACGGCCACGGTGAAAAGACCAATGGTGCTCAGAAAGATGAGACAAAAGTGCCCATCACTTTCTTCACCGCAGTCCCCACCATCTGGTCACGAATGCTGAAAGCACACGATTCTTTATCACACGACATGCAAGCGGCCGGCAAAATAGCGGTGTCGCCAAGCAACCTCCGACTCAACATCTCTGGCTCAGCAGCTCTCCCGAAGCCAATCCGCGATGGTTGGATGCAACTGACCGGCGGAAACGTACTTCTAGAGCGCTATGGAATGACCGAAGTCGGAATGGCGCTCTCTTGTGGTCTTGAGACTACTGATCGTGTAGACGGTTCTGTAGGCTGGCCGCTGCCGTCCGTTGAGGCGCGGCTCATGGAAACCGACGACGAGACTGGAGTTCAAACAATCATCGAGCATGGCGCTGAGATCGACGCTCACTCTGGAAAAGAGCGTATTGGCGAGATTCAGCTTCGTGGGCCTACTGTGTTTACTGGATATTGGCGCAATCCCGAGGCCACTGCCAAGGAGTTTACGACTGATGGATGGTTCAAAACCGGCGATATTGCCATTCGACGACAAGTCCCGGAATCTGGTCTCGGGAAGTCAGGCACCTGGGCAAAAGGACCAGCATACTTCATCCAAGGCCGTCGCAGCGCAGATATCATCAAGACGGGCGGCGAGAAGGTTTCAGCCCTCGAGGTCGAGCGCGAGATCCTCGCCCTTCCCGAAGTCGATGAGTGTGCCGTCGTCGGTCTACCATCTGAAGCTTGGGGGCAGAAAGTCGCAGCTGTGATTGTTCTCAGCAGCAAGCCTGGAGGATCGATGAGCCTGCAGAGCTTAAGGAGCGCGTTGAAGGTGAGGATCACGGCGTATAAAATTCCGCAGGATTTGGAAATTGTGGAGGTCTTGCCACGGAATGCTATGGGGAAGATTAATAAGAAGCAATTGGTCAAGAGTGTTTTTGGAGAGGTTGAGAAGATTAGGAGGAGAAGTATTGATCTTCAAACAAAACGGCCTGTTCTAAATGGGCAACGCGGTTAGAATGTATGAAAGGGAGATATGTATTGAATCAAATTTGTCAAATTTAGTCTTGTATTTGCATCTATGTTCATCCACGTGAAGGCCCTATTCCCAAGCTTGACCTGTAAGAAGGCAAGCCATGAACAGTATGGAGACGTCTCATGACAAATAATGTAGAGGCCATCGTCCTGGAAAACAGATGAGCCGATGTGTATTCTCATCGCAGAGGCTCATAGCGGAGCACATTCCAATATAGCGAATGAATATAGTATGCAAATGGCAGACACTCTACTCACTATAATAAACTGTGAATCTGCTGAGCCGCCCCGAGCACCTTCTCCTCTTCGAACCTTCGTCCAACAATCTGCAAGCCTACATGACGCCCGTCCATCGCCACAGGATGATATAACTGCTGATTCCAGGCATCGATCTCATTCCGCGGAACATGCGCCCAGAAATCCCCGTCGTTCCCATCCATGGACGCCTTTCCTGCTGGGAACGTCAAGGCCGTGTAATCCAGCAAGTTGAAAATCTTGGTATACCCTGTCCAGCGACAAGACCCGTGAGGCACTGCGGTATGAGGCATGGCGGGGACTAGTAATACATCGACAGGACGGCCAGTAGGTGATGGTTTGTTATCCCACATATCGTGGTAAGCCTCTTGGATGGCAATCTTTCGCTTGTTGAGTTGCCAATACTCAAAGACTGAGATTGGCTTGCCGCGGTTGACGAAGGCTTGGATCTGTGGAATGAATGGTTCACCGCCTGCTGAGACAGCGCTTCGGATATCTTCACCTCCGTCGGCGGAATAGTAACCATCCTGTTCTGAGTAAGTCACTGTCGATTCGGTGCAGCAGAAGTTGACTTACCATGATATCTATAATGCTTGAGTTCAAGCTCGAATCCCATTCTATAACCTCATGGCCAGCAGCTTCCAACTTTGTGACCAGGTCTCTGAACACACGCTCGATGGGTGGGTGAACCTTAACCATGCCGTCATCTAGCATAGCTCCAATGACAAGCGGTCTCGTCGAGGTGGCCTGGAAGATACCGTCTCTCCATGGGACCGGCGGCAGCTGGGGATCTATCGCCCAAGGTTCAGCCTCAATAGCTAGCTTAGTCACGAGTTTGAGACTACTCAGAGATCTCACCATGGGCCCTACGGCTGATGGAATGTGTTGTTGCCCGTCAAGTGTCACTTCAACGCCACGATAAGATAACCGGCCACTCTAAGATTTTGTTAGAGCGTCTTTCGGGCATGAGGTGATTCATGTCTACCTACACTCGGCTTCAAACCCCAAAGACCATTCATGTGGCACGGAATTCGTATAGAGCCACCAATGTCTGTGCCCCAACCAATGATGGAAGCACCCATTGATAACATAGCTGCCTCTCCACCGGAAGAGCCTCCAGGGGTGAGCTTTGGATCCTCTGGATGAGTCGTCAGCCCCCACAGAGGATTGTCTGTTTCGCACCACTAGTAGCCATGTCAGCAGGTAAGATCTATATGGTCACATATCCCGTACCATGATGCTCTGGGGAAGATTCGTTTTTGCGATTATGACAGCCCCGAGTTTCTTCAACGTTTCTATAAGTGGTGCATCGTTCTCGGCTGGTGAAAATGCCTTTGCAACGTAGCCTAACGTCGAGTCCAAACCCTTGATGTTGAACTGATCCTTTACTGTGATTGGAACACCGTGGAGTGGGCCCATTAGTTGACCGTGCTCTTGCTGAAACTCATCAAGCTTTTGAGCTTGCTCAAGAGCACCATCAAAGCATATTTCCGTCAGGCAATTGGTCTGTCGGTATTAAGCAAAGTCTTGGCAGAGTCTTTGGGAATCAATTTACCTGTTTCTGCGCTTCGCAAGCTCTAAAATGACGGTTAGCATTGACGAGTTTGGAACTGTGACGTCGACTTGCCTTTTAATGTAAGCATGGATGACTTGAACAGCTGAGACTTTTCCATCTCTGAGGAGGCTTGTCAAAACCTCGACATCGACCGTTTCGAAGGAGATTATATCAGATATGTCTGATTTCAAGTGCTTGTTGATTTGCGCGTCTCGGATAGCGCGTTTCTCTCTAACAACTTCTGTCCAGTGTTTGTGCACCTTGGTTGCATCATTGCTCGTAGTCATCTTGAAGCGATTGCAGTTGTTCCTCTTCGTTCTGCAGATGCTAACTAGTTTACTTTTCGGCTGTTTAACCACTTGCTACGTCCCGCTGACCCAGTCTGGAGATGCAGGTGCAGGTCGTCGTGTCACCCGCGGAGATAGCGGAACAGGACCGGCTCAGCCGAAACGAATCAGTACGCCCCATCCAGACCCTGACAGTGTACAATTTTCTAATCTACACTGTCTCGCTATCCCTTAATTGATTGTCCAGAAAAAGATAGATAGCGGATGGTGCGACGTCCGGGGAGAGACCCGAGGCCGGGTCGACACTCCCCCACAACTTTGACCCCATCACTCGATTGTGCTGCATCTAATCTGCAACAGCTGATTCTGGGGCAAAAGCGCCGAGAGCCGATGCCGGTCTTGCCCCGCGCTCGTCTGGCCACCCAGCCTGAGAGAGCTCTCTTGCTTAGTTAGAGACTTCGGACGCAAATGACGATATTCATATACCAGTTCGTTGAACCACAGCACAAGTTGTTGCTCGAGACAAGATATCACGACATCACACGACAACAGCGAGTTATCCCAAGATCAAAATTAAGACACAATGGCAAAGACTTCTCGCAATGAACTACACGTCGCCATCGTTGGTATGTCTCGCAAATATCCCACCCGCCGTTAAATAGGCTAACTCGACAGGTGCCGGCATCGGCGGCCTCGCTTTGGCCATGGCTCTGCACAAGAAGGGCATCTCCTTCACGCTGTATGAAGATGCAAAGGAGTATTCGGCAGTAGGGTAAGCAGTCAGCAGCGCATTCCAGTGGATTGTCGCTAATGTTGAGCCAGCGCCGGTATTGGATTCGCCCCTAATGGCATGCGCACGATGGATCTCATTGAGCCTGGTTTCCGACCTCTCTACGAGGCTATATGTGTTGGAAACAAGGGCGAGGACGCACAAGATATCTTTTTTGAGGGTATGCTACTTGAAGAGGGTCTTGGTAAGTCATGGGATTTCTTGTAAGGCTGAATCTTTTGCGCTGACTGAATCAGGTCGCGATAAGCCGTGGTATGGTCATTCCGGATGGGGCCATCCAGATTACATCCGCAAGTCTGTGAGTATATATGACAGATACAACAAGAAACTTGGTGCTAACAGCATATTTTAGGCGCATCGCAAGACCCTTCTCGACATCATGACCAGTTTCATCCCCATCGAAAACGTCAAGTTCAACAAGCGCCTCACCAAGATCGAGGAGCGGCCCGATGGCGTCACACTATCGTTCCAAGATGGAACAACAGCCGAGTGCTCAGTCCTTGCTGGTGCAGATGGCATCAAGAGTACTGTGAGGGCGCATGTCCTTGAAAACTATCCCAGCCAGATCGCGCCCGTGTATGCAGGTGCTTACTGCTATCGTGCTGTCATTCCCATGTCAGAGGCGTACGAGATTCTCGGTGATCTCACCGACGTTGCCAAGTTCTACTTTGGACCCAAGCGCAGCGCTGTTACGTATCGCATTACGGGTGGTGAAGTAAGTCTACCATCCATTCCCTGACTTGGTGTGACATCGCTAACCATTGCTTGCCTCAGGAGTTCAACTATCTCCTTTGCGTCGCCGATTCCCCCGATGGTTGGAAGCTCAAGGGCGCTGTTACAGAGACCATCTCCCACGAAGCCATGATGGCCGACTTCGAGGGCCCAGGCGTCGACGATCGCTTCCGACAGCTCCTCGCCAAAGCCAAGCCCATCAAGTGGGGTTTCTTCCATCACTTCCGCACAGCATCATACTACCGTGGTCGAGTCGCTCTAGTCGGTGACAGTGCCCACGCCTCGCTACCTTTCCAAGCAGCCGGAGCAGCCCAGGGTCTAGAAGATGCCCTGGTCCTATCCAACGTTCTCGCGGAGATCGCCGAGCTGCCCCAGCGTGGCGCAGAGCTGGTCCCCTCTATCCAAGCAGGACTGTCCGCCTATGATTCCGTCAGGCGTCCTCGTGCGCAGAAACAGCTGGAACAAGCTGCTGAGGTTGGCCGCATGATTTTCTTCCAGCATGAAGAGGCCGGTGACGACATGGATAAGATTCTGCCTAGACTGCAGCAGGGAAGGTTCAACTGGTTGTGGTTCCATGACATGAACGACGATGCACAGGAGGCTGTGAAGAGGATGCAGAAGCTTATTAGTGTAGGTTGGCCTTCTGTTTCTAGGATATGAGGTCTGGAACCTTTGTGAGGAATACTATTTGCTGGAATAAGACGACAGAGATTTTTATGCTTTAGATCAATTAAGGAAATAATGCAGTTCGATCCCAAGGCTTGTAGGGCATATGTAAAACATAAACTGCCTTCATACCAAACTTCCAACAATTTGGGAGACCTGAGACTGTTCTAGTACACTGTCAGTGAGGATGCCTGCTGAAAGAGAGAGACTGTATGCTATAACGTCTAAGTTGTGAGCTAGATGTATTGCTTGTGGTTGAGGCCAGGTTCTGTCTGCTGGAATAAGCTCTCGGCCTCGCGATGGAGAGCCTAAATCAACACAGTCAAAGAATGTCTTAGATAAAGCCACCTAATCAGTGTTCATTTCGAGCAACAGTCTCAGTAAGCATCACTCAAAATACATGGCATGGACAAGATATATATCGTTGTAGTCCTGGGAGTAATAGGATAGAAACCGACTTTTTACTTCATCGTGCTAGGCTAGAGCCTCCTCTCATTAATTTAAATTTGAAAACATTCTGAACTCATGATGGCAGAACGGCACAGGTGGGCTGTTCCACTTGGGCGAGTACTCTTTCTTGTCGTACCGCACGACCGGCCCAAGAACACGTAAGTCAGACCCAAAGACAGAGTCCGGGAAGTGAACATAGTGCTTTTCATCCTTGATGAGCTCGCTGTTCTTTCCCCAAGCATCCAAGATGGAATAGTACAGAGGTGCAACGTGCACATCACTCGACCAAGTTGGGAACTCATACTTGTTTCTGATCTTCTGAACCACCTCCCTTTGATACAGGCGAACCCCTGAATCCAGAGTCGCCATATTATAGGCTGTAAGTGAGGCATGACCATGGTATGATCCACCAAACTTGGCACGATCTCGAATACCGCACATGATGGTCAGGGCAGTTAGGATACCAGTAGACATGTCTGAGATAGGCAGACTGGGCAGGACACCTTGGCCTTTGGGGCAGCCGAACGATTGGCCCATGACATATGAGCTCCCCGCCGCGGCGTCTGCTACCTGCTGCCACCCAGGTCGCTCTGCGTAGTAGCCATCAGGGCCATAACAGTTCTCGTCCACATAGACGACACCCTTGCCTCGTTTTCTTGCTAGTTCAAGCGCGACCTCAGGACCGAAACCTCTTCGGGCCAACGATCCCAAGCGGTAGCCCTGCAAGATGACATCGGCTTGCTCAAAGAGCTGCATCAGCTTCTTATGGTCGGCTGGGTCTTCGAGGTCCAGGTCGATGGTTGTCTTGCCAGCCATGAGCGAAGATGGTTGAGCTGGCGTATAATCCTTGAGCTTAGATGAATTGACGCGTATGACCTCGGCGCCCAGAGATGCGAGGGCGGCACCGGCAGCTGCACCAGCTATGATGCGCGTCAACTCGACAACTTTAATACCAGCGAGTGGTCTTTTGTCCTCGATGACGGGAAATGAAACAGGTGCGAGGCTTGCACAGTGAGATTGTTGTTTGTAATTGACCAGAGGATGTCGTGAGAGAGACCTGCCCATTTCTGTCTGACGCCATTCTTCAGGAGAGTAGACAATTGATCCCGAAAGACCCTTCTCCACCACCAGCTGCTCAATTTCTCGGGCACGATACTTACGAACTCGCTCCTGGATGAGCTTATACGCAGCATCGTTGGTACGAATCTCACCGTCGAGATCTTTGCTGATACCAAGAAGGGCCAGCATCTTCCACGAATCAAGCGAACCATGAAGCTGGAACCACACGCCGCTATCAGCAGTCTCATAGATGGCCGTTGCGCGGTACACGAGCGGCGAGTTGGAAGCACGGTCCTTGTCCCACTGCGGCACAGTCGGCAACTTGATCACCTCTGGGCCTGTGACGCCATCGATATTGACGAGTGCTGCTGTAGCGGGGTAGAGGCCAGCGTGGTTGACGTCGATATCTATTTGGTTGCTGCTGGTGACCCCACGAAGATGAAGGATCTCGAGACCGACTATACCGACCATTGCATGTAGGACTGCTGTGACGGCTTGAGACTTGATTGGGCCTGGAATGCAAGGCAGATCATCGCCATAGAAGTTTACCCCGCTGAGGAGAGCTTCATCTTTGGTGAAACCGGGTGTTCTTGCAGCAAAGATGCGTAGTATCCTTTCGCACTCTGCTGGAAGCGGACTGAATGCCGTGTCGACAGTGGTCCCCGCACCATAGGTCTCGCTGGATGTGTTGGTAGTCATTATAGTGAGTTGTAGTGGACAGTCTAGGGTAGTGAATTCTTGCGGGTCATAAGTCAAGGTGCTTCGAAGTAGTATGTCTGGTCACGTTTATCGCTGAAGCTAATTCACAACAGACCAGCTGTACTTCAAGTAATGGGTAAAGTGGTTGCGCGATCCGGTCTTTACGGGTGCCTAGGCTTCAAAATGCCGTTCATCGCTTTTGTCGGCCGTGGTCGGTCCGTAAATTTGGAGTCCGGTATCCCTTCCGCGGACTTGCCCCGGCTGACACCGAGTTTAGTTGGTGCAATGGATACACCAGAGTGTGAGTTCAGGTAGTGAGTAAAGGGAGGAGTAATTAACAAGTAATCAATTCACGTTAATTATCCACAGAACTCAAAAGCCTTGTCCCGTTCGTGAGCAAGTACTAACAACTCATCAATTTTTCCTAGGCATTCGAAATGGCACAAGAGATACGAACCGTAGCGATTGTTGGCTGTGGGGTGATTGGCATGGGTTGGGCAGTGCTGTTCCTATCAAGAGGCCTGAAAGTCATAATCTCAGATCCCATGGAAGGAGCTGAGAATGCCCTCAAGGCATATTTTGAGCAGTCACGGTCGTATCTGGAAGGGTTTGGGGACTATGATAAGCTCGTCTCCAACTATGAGTTTGTTCACGACATTACACCGCGGCTAGCAGAGGCCGACTTTATTCAGGAGGTAAATATGCCCTTTACGCTATACTTCTGTACCTACAATGGCCATGACGCTGACTGATGTCTTACAGAATGGACCCGAGAGGCTAGAGTTCAAAAGGGGTCTTATTGCAACATTGGACAAGCATGCTCGACCAGGTGTTGTGATAGCATCATCCTCATCAGGTCTGCCATCTTCGGATTTCATACAGCAGTGCAAGCGGGATTCCACCCGTGTCCTCATCGGACACCCTTTCAACCCACCTCACCTAATTCCCCTCGTCGAAGTAGTACCTCATATCGGCACAAGCAGCGAGTCTGTCAACACTGCATTGAACTTCTACAGATCTGTTGGGAAGAGGCCAATCCTTCTTCATCACGAAGTCCCCGGCTTTGTGTCGAACCGCCTCCAGGCCGCAATCAACAATGAAGCGTATAGTCTCATCAGCAGGGGAATTGTCTCCGCGGAGGATCTCGACGCAGCTGTCACGTCTGGACCTGGACTTCGCTGGGCTCTGACGGGCCCGATTGCTACGAATGCTCTTGGTGGCGGAGGCGGACCGGAAGGGTTTTTACAGCGGATGGAGAGACTTGGGCCGGCGATTCGTGGATGGGAGGATGATATTTTGAAGCATAGATTTGACTGGAGTCAGCAAAGAATGTTGGCGCTCCAGGAGAGTGTGAATAAGAGCCTGGGTGCTGTTCAATGGGATAAGCTGGTGAAAGAACGAGACTTGGTACTACTCCAACTTTTGGCTGCGAAGGAGAAGATGGCCTCTATGTCAATACCGTCAGGTCACTGATAAGACCAGTCAGCAAGCCGTCCATAAAGAAATAGTTTATTCATTCCGTTCTGGGCTCGAACTCTCTGTTAACTTGTATAAGGGCTAAAGTGTGTGTGACGACCTTACGATTAAACAAGGTTTCAACCTTCAGGTTAGGAGTTAGATAGGCATTACTGCTTCCCGGCAAATCTATACCTGACAGATGATTGGTGTAAAAATACAAAGACAAGTTATAATTGGCTATTAAAGGTCTTATATACTGTAATACGAGTAGCTATATATTATACTTTGAAAAGTCTCGGGCTCGGCCCATCCCTGAACTTTAGTCTCCACAGGTTCTCCATAGCACAAATGTAAGTTGGGGTGATGGGTGGCTTTGGCTCGGCCAAATCTCCTTGGATGTTTTGTATCCCCCTAGCTTCATCACGTTTCTGTATCTCATCGTGAACTTTCGAACCCGCAAGCTCGACAGAGGTGACACTACTTTTTATTTATTCTTCAACCCAGTTGAAGGAAAGATAGACAAGCAGGAAGCTTATATGTGTTCTCACTGGCTGTAAGTTTCTATGATTTCGCATTTTGTACTTGTATATGTCTTCAAGTCCCGAGCACTATAGAATGGACAGAATTGCGTGATTTAGAAGCACGGCAGATGAAAATGACCTTCCACTTCTGTCAGGAAAAGATAATTAGCGAAAGGCAATTGCGTGGAGACTGCACACGGACGTCGTAGTTGGCATCAAGGGTTGGATCGTTAGGTGTCCCTGTTTCAGAACATCACATGGTGCCTTCATAATACGAAATGGGGGAACCGTACGTCGTCCTTGATAGCGTCGAGCTTCAAAGGGGCGGTGACGGTGTAGCGGGTGCGAACTGATTATAAAAGGGGATGTGTTGCCTTCTCAAAATAAATCTAGGCCTTCATCAAGCGGCATTCTCTTTTATATCTCCTCTCCCAAAGAACCAACGACAATGCCAGTAACTATCAAATCTCTAATTTTCAGCCTGTTCCTCGCCCAAGCGGCATATGGGTATGTTCTTTCACCAAGTTCCTTGGATTTAGAGCGATACTCATACGGCCGATAAGAAAGGACCATAGCAGTCACAACTGCTGCCTGAACACTCCCGAAGGATGGATTCCGCGAAACGATTGGACCAAGGCTGTGTGTGCCATGCGCTGGGGTTCTGTTGTAAGTCTCTGAATTGATCACTGAGAAGATGTGTTGACGATGTTATCAGGCGACCTTTGACGGCGTTAAGTGCATCCAGAAGCCGGGCAACGTAATCAGCGGTGATGACTTTTATACTGCGTGCAAGCTGTACGGAGCAAATGATGGCTATGGACCTGAGTGGGAGAAGGGTGCAGGGTACCGCGGTACTTGCTCTTGAGCTTGGACGTCTGTCATTGAGACGAAGGTTGTATCAACCAACACAATTTTACTATTTCACTGCAGATCTATCAATCCACTACTAGCAATCATAGTGAGAGTATACTTTATCGGGCTATACGACACCGCTGCGGATATCAGATGACATTGCCAGCGGATCACGCGTACCTAATATGGACTAAAGTGCCAGGATTGTCAAGCTCCAGAAGCGATATGCTGTCAAGTTTGTAGACATGTCCGACCCATCAATGGCCATAACATGCTTCACGTTACAAAGGAGACTACGGGATAATACAGCCTGGTTTTAGCCTAAACTTTGCCGAGGTTGTTTCTCATATTAAGCGCTGACACTTTCTTCCGTAACGAGGTGGCCTTAAGCCCGAGTCTATCACGGGGTCGGCGCTAATGGTGCGGAGATATTAGTGGCTCACGATCCGCTGCTAGCTTTGAGATTGGTTTTTTCGGGCTCGGTGTTAACAAAGATCGGTGATATCGGTGTATTCTCCATGGAAGCTTTTCAGTGACTCATGCGACTTGTCTCGATCTTCATTTCTTGCTATAAATTTCACCTACAGCTTCATCAAACAGGCTATCTTTAAACGACTTGAAAATACGACAATTGGTAGTACTACCATGGACCCAGACACTGAGCAGATGAGGGTTGAAAAGCCCAACCACGAACAACCCAAACCCAATACCGAATTCCCGGATGGAGGCTTGGAGGCTTGGTCTGTTGTACTTGGTGCCTTTTGTGGCCTCTTTGTCAGTTTTGGATGGACTAATTGTGCAAGTTTCTTCCTCATATAGCTTTGCTTCCTAACCGCTGACTAGAAATCCAGGTTGGGGTCTTCCAAGCCTACTACGAAGCAAACCAGTTGCAAGACTTGTCACCCAGCACTGTCTCATGGATACCAGCCATCTCGATGTTTATGATGTTCATCACAGGACCTTTCGTCGGCCGAGCTTTCGATAATTATGGTCCGCGCTACCTTCTTCTTGCAGGGACACTACTGCATGTTTTTGGGTTAATGATGGCATCTATATCACGTCAGTACTACCAGTTCATCCTCTCCCAGGCGATCTGTAGTCCTCTGGGAGCAGCCATGGTTCTGTATCCGTCATTTAGCTGTGTCACAACATGGTTTAGGCAAAAGCGTGCCTTAGCCCTGGGAATAACCGCTAGCGGCTCGAGTCTCGGCGGTACGATTCTTCCGATTGTGGTGAATCGCTTGATTCCCAGAATTGGCTTTGGGTGGACCATGAGAGTTTGCGCCTTCTTGTTGCTTGGTCTACTTCTCGTGACGAATTTGACGGTTCGATCGCGGGTAGCGCCTCAGCCAAAGGAGGCGGGCATCATAGCTTATCTCCGGCCTTTCACGTCGCTCTCGTTTATCCTGACTTCGTTGGCGGGATTCTTCTACTCCGTGGGAATGTTCATCCCCATTACTTTCATGGTAACCTATGGTGAACACGCTGGCCTGTCAAATAGCATGGCTGGGTACCTTGTCTCGATATTCAATGCTTCAAGGTAAGTCTTATCTACCGGCCACGAAAGTGGATTCAAACTTGTATGATATTGACGGCAACAGTGGAATCGGGCGTATTCTACCGGGATATATAGCAGACAAGGTTGGCAGCTTCAACGTATCAATAGCAGCCGCGACTCTTTCGACGATATTCATGCTAGGATTGTGGCTGCCAGCCCATAGCCGTGAGTCAGCTATCGCTTTTGCCGCCTTGTTCGGATTTAGTTCAGGCACGTACACCGCCATCAGCCCTGCCTTGATAGCGCACATTTCTGATCTCGAAGAGATTGGCACCCGCTCTGGGACCATGTACGCGTTTATGTCTGTGGCTGCGCTCACTGGCAGCCCGATTGGGGGTGCTTTGATCTCGAGCGCAGACGGGAGTTATTGGAAGCTACAAGTTTTTGCTGGTTGTATGCTCGGTGCAGGGACGGTGTTTTACGTCCTCGCGAGACTGTACATTACCAAGGGCAGGCTGTGGGAAAAGGTGTAATACTTGCTCTGGTAAAGTGTGATTCGAAAAACAGCATGTTGGGATTTGTGGAAGCTATGGCTACTGCACGTTGGCACCAATAGGTCATGGACAACACCAATTAGTGTAGCAATCCAGAAGTATACAGAGGTTCTTATGTACAGTATAACTGATATGCAGGGACCTAAGCCTTAAGGTGGCTTTTGCTGAGTTTATTTTGACATTCTATATTTAGGTTCTTTTGCTCCTTGGGGCCAAAGAAAGGTTGAAGCTCATAGTGGTGATGAAAATGACATCTTGTGTATTGCTCTAATAAATCCCGTCAAGAGTCCCATTCATCATCTTGGTGTAGTCCACTCACTTCTTCTCCATCCAAAAGTCGAACCAGTCTACAAAGCTCTTAAAGCTGGCCTCCTTAGCCCACTTCTCATAAGGGTCTGTTAAACGGGCTCGCGACTGGGCCAAAATGTCAGCATACGGGCGATCTTTAATTCATGGGGAAGACTTACCGCAAAGCCATGTCCAACGTTGGCAAATACTTGCATGTTGAACTGCTTGTTGTTTTCTGTGAGTATCTCGACTGTCCTGCTTCTCTGCTCCGGTTCAAAAAGCTTGTCTGTGCTGGGAACTGAGAAGAAGATGGGGGCTGATCCCGGTTAGCTTGCTTTCGATGAGATGGCGTGTATACTCGCCTTGGACGTAAAGCACATCGCTTTCCTTGAGGAACGAAGGATGGGCGATGGCGCCGACTTTACAAATACCGTCTGCAGACAGCTGTTGGCATACGAAGCGTGCACCCCAGCTGGTACATGTTGAGTCAGTCAAATTGAGGCTTAGATGAGGGTGGACTCGTACCAGTAGCCAACGCAAGCAAATTTGACGTCTTCGCTGCTTCCGTACTGCGCCTTTACGGCCTTGACCCATCTAGCAGCAGCATCCTCAGACGCCTTGAGATGTTTGTTCTTCCATGACTCAAAGTCAAAGTTTGGATCACTCAGCGGCGTCAACGAGTGCTTTGTTACAGGGTCCTAAACGGTCAGTGCGATGCACCTTGCAGAGAAAAATCCAGCTCTTACACCAAGGAAGTAATCGACACCAAGAGTGAGGTACCCGCACTCGGCGAAAGCGTCCATCATGAGGAAGCTGTTGATGTGCAGCCCGAATGCATCAGGGAAAAAAAGAAGAACGTTCCCGTTGGACTTGTTGGGATGAGGTTTGGCGACGTAAGTGTCGATGCCGTCGATCTGGATGGTAGAACCAGTAGCTTCTCCAGAATGAAACGATCCCTTGAGACAGCAGAGGTCTGCAGGTTTGGCGAGTACGTTATCCATTGTCGTTGATACTATTGACTGTGTTCTTTTTTCTTCCCCTTAAGTCTTGAATGAGTCTAATTTGGTTATGAGATATAGTTTAGTTGTTGCCGGGATCATCGGAAGTGTTCCCCGATAAGTTGATGACTTGTTCCTTATGGCGCGGTGTTGCGGGGCAACTCCAAGAGAACGACATCCGGTTACTGATCTGGGCCTAGACTACAGGAACACAAGACTTTCACTACCTGTAACAAAGAAACTACAAGGTTTCTGCTTACAGCAGTGGGTCAGCCTTTTGTTCACGTAGCCTTGTTTTTCCGAGATGACTTCAAGGCCTCGCAGTCATCTTCGTCGCCTTAATGTGTAGTTCGAGCCCACGGAACGATCACCGACGACTCGGACGACTAAACATGGCAGAAGGTTTGGTAGAGAACGCAATGTTTCTCGACATCACCAATACTGACCTTCAAATGCATCACTTGGTCGAAAGGGACAGGCTCTCCCGGGCGCAAATCGCATACAGGGCTCAGTTACTGATAACATCAGTTACGGAGCAAGACTAGTACAACCGCTTCGATAGCTGCCGAATTCTTCCTGGCCTTTCTCTGCCATAATCCCTTCGTCCCAAAAACGCAAATACAAGGTAATCCACAAACTAAACAGACGTTGTCCTCCTGCACCGGTCCAGCCACCCAATCGTGAGTGCATTATCGGCATCACTGTTGAGAATTAGCTAGCTATGTCTTGCGAGTAGGTGTGATGAGACTTACCATGATGATCCCTGACATATCCTGATTAGACATGCGCCAGATTGCTTGGTGGAGGCTGTTGACTAGTGTCGAGAGATGGCTGTCTTGCACCATGATTCTCAATCTCTATAACCACTTGCACTGTCGCCAAGCCACAATCAAGAAACGTCTAGCTTTGACCTTCCGAAACTTCACTCCTCATCGCGCTTTCGCTTCTCACCATGCGATTCCGAAGGTGACACCGGATCAGATCGAGCTGGGCCAGGTTGTGGAAAGTACTCCTTGCCCGCCAACTGGACCCGGACGCGATCCGCAAAGGTCGAGTACGGTTCAAAAGGAACCACTACATAGTTGACAGTAGGAAAGACAAAGTCCTCGATGGTGCGGGTAGGGACATCCAGACTGTCGAGAAGCTGGTGGGGGATATCCGCCTTGTAGACGTAAGCATTTGTCGGATCGTCCATGTTCGTGACGAGGAGGCGTGCCTGGAGAATAAAAAGTCAGTGAATCTGTTACGTATCATGGGAACTGAGCGATGCTAACCAGGAACGTTCCCTCCGGAGGGGCGAGGGCCATGCGATCCTGGAGTTGTGCTACGCTCAGCAGGAGGCAAACAATGTACGGGTCGTGTCGCCAATCTGTGGGAGTCACTTGGCGACGTTTGATGTCGCAGATGCGTTGAAATGGATCATTTTTGACTCCGCCGCGGCCACGCCGTGCCCTGAGCTTCTGCTTTCGCTCCTCGTCGGCGGTGTATCTGTAGTACCCAATGGTGGGATTGGCGTCCGGGATGCAAATCTCCTCCTTGATGCGGTAGATGCAGACATTCGAATCCCACAGGGGAACTCGATAGTGGCCATAGTCGAAGTAGAGGCGGTAGTCCGATTCGCTACACATATTAATCAGGCTGGCTTGTACAGTTGCGTTCCAACAGGGTTTGACATACTGGATAAAGGTGATGGGGGTTGGCTTGTTACCAAGGAGAAGCTCCGCGACCCAGAAGTGCTTCATATCCGGGAGATTTTCACAAGCGAGTCTCAACGCCGACTTTGTCATCTGTTTGGCTTGTTCGGTATCAAGGACCACAGATTCCTGTGCATCGTCCCCTTCGACCCGCTGGAAGCTGCAGTTGACGACCGCAAGATGATGGTCAGTCCAGAACTTTGGGTGTTTAACGAAGCCTGGATGTTCAACGCTGAGGCTGTGGAAGGATTTGAAAGTTGTTTGAGGCATGGTTTTGATGGTGGGTTGTTTTCTGATTGCCGTCTTCTTCTTGAGATGTTGTGGAAGCGGTGGAAGAGGTGAAAAGGGATTTGAAGGAATGAGTCTCAGAATGGCGATCTAGGTAGCTGAAGCAGGGCAAGGCTACATATGACGCAGGCAGTCGACTTGCACGTAACGCGTTGCTTACTTAAGTGTATGGCAGGTGATGCGAGGTGACGGTGCTTAAGCACATCTGACCAGGCTAACACTGTTAGACTCGCAGTGGTTTCTCGATCTGCATATGTGTAAGGCAGTGTCAATGAATGAACACCGTCACATCACATTGAGCAGGGTTTTCAACCTGTGAATATTTGTCACTTCTCACTAATTTATGTCAGGCAGCGAGAATCAACAGACCCTGGTGTATCCTACTTCGCTGTGTTCCACTGTTTCTTTGAACATGATGTTTTCCGAATCGTGGATGTGCCTCTTGTTAGTTGCTTCCATTGGTCAAGTACCTCTCCCCTGGCAGTTCATACACTTCAGTACCACAGAGCTATAAGAGGATGGGTGACCAGGGTACAATGACCAGTTTACTACTTGCACAGCCCGACAACTGGCTCAACAAGATTAGTCTCCTCGACATCATGCCATCGCAAGCGCCATACATGAAACGCTTTTTTGAACAGGAACACGTAAATCATTGCCGAAGAACTCTCTGCAGAATTTATTATGCTCACTAGTCTAGTCTAACTCAAGTTCAGGAGCCAATCATATGTCGTCAAAGGCAACAATAGTTCATCCCTCCATTTGCCTCATGTACTCCGCCAGCTGGAGGACATTCTTGACGATGCATTTCCTATCATTTCGTCGTTCCAGATCCAACCATCGTGTCGCTGTTACGTTGATAGCGGTACGTGGGACTATCCCATTCTTCAAATCATCGAGGTGGCTTGCGGTGACGATAAAGTGAAACAAGCACATGTAATGCTGAGCAGTGCTGATAACGAATATGTCATCGAGGGAAGTGCCCCCTTGGCGAGAGGATCGTGCGGCAACAGCCTCGCAAGTCATTTGCCCAAGTCGCTCATCGGACACAAATGGCAGGTTGGTTTTCTCACACACATCGAGTCGCCGTTTGGCCTCTATCAAGACGACCGAGTTTTTAGTCCTTGCTCCGGCACGCGATATCACAGTAAGTCCTCCGTCGTCGATTGCCGTGATCCGTTTGTCCTTGACCTGGAGATAATGCCTCTCCGGCTGGCGGATCTCAACAGACATGTCTAAGCTGGGGTCTTGAGTGTACAAGAGGATATGAGTGATGGCGGAGAAAGCCAGCTCAACGGTGTAAGCCTCAACCGGAAGATACGCCGCAGGTCTCTGTACGGAAGTAAATGAATCTTTTGCATTGGTGGAAGATGATTCTTGGCTCGATTCGTGGTCCTGACTGGAGCTCGCGATACACTCGGAATCTACGTACCCTGGATGGGTTGTCTGTAGTCTCACCCGCCCAGAGGTACGCTGGTTGTTTTGCGGTTCTTCCTTGTTCGCCTTGAGTCCTTTCATGTCCCTCAGCGCTACCCAGAATCTAGCCAAAGTTGCGTCTACTTCTCGTACAAGGGCGTGCTGCCGCATAGTTTGATGATTTGAGGCCAGGCCCTTGATAAATGCTGCTATATGTGCATTTTCTTCGCCAGCTTTGAAAGTTTCACGTATGGTGAGATCGTAATCGTCCAATAGCGGGAAACAGATGTCGACATTGCTGCTCACTATAACGTGGCACGCCTTCAAATGCTGGGTGCCCCAGCTGCTACCAGACCCTACTGGTAGATCCGATAGTGGCTTTGCGTCTTTTGCATTTTTCGTGTAATATCGCTCACTTGTTACCGTATCAAAGTAATGAGGCGACATGTCTAGGTCAACATGTGGTTGTCGGCAATGTCTACAGTGATGGGATGCGAATCCTGAAAGTACAATGGTCAAATGGACGTGCATGGCGCCGTACGTTGGTATTTATGCTTAGCAGAAACTGCTTGCTTCACCTAGTTTGTATTCTGCCTGTTGACATGATTTGAAATCATAACTTCTGCTTGCGTTCTTCGTTTGCTTTGCTCTGTTTCAATGCTGTTGCAAACTGACAAAGTAAATAATACGACATCACGTCGTCTGCTTGGGAGCAAACACAAATAGATTGAAAACGCAACAAATGTCTTCGGTTTGAACAAATTGTATTTGGTTTGAGTATCTGGTTTGGAGGCGTGCCACAAAGGACACGTATCTTGTTGCAATCATGTTGAATGTGCGCAAACCCAACATATAGACAGATTTCCCTGCCTCAAGCGAGCTGCATTTGCGATATCAGCTTTCCACGCCCAAGCAGCTTTGTCGCCATCGGCTGCCGTCCATCCCAGGGGTCAAATGTCTTGGGAAAGGCTCCTGAAGCAAGGCTCAACTGTCAGGTCAGTAAATATCTTCCATATGTTTGGAAGTCGCAAGTCTGTGTCGCTACATATTGTACTAGAAACTAAAAGAGATAAGAATATTCGCAGTGGCTTTTTTTCTTTTAGGAGGAAAACCAGATGCACAGTTACATACGTGCACTGTTCAGCTTTGTTCAATAAATGCCCAAAGCATTGTTCTGTTCATTTCTGTTCCTTGGTAACAGTTGCGTTATCTAGAGATGTATCCCTGAGTCACGAGCCTGTTAGACCGAGCTGAGGTGGTTGAGCAGTTCTCCTACTTGCAAACCTTTGACAAGAATCAATGGGAACACTCCGATTTAGCCGACTTCTACCATCCCCGTACAGAATTTAAGTGAGATAGTGATGAGCTTTAAATAAATACAACGAAAATAGAATTACTACAGGATTGTACGAATAGGTATCTGTAAACTGTCAGGTGTTGTACGCTGGTAGCATACGACCAAACAACGTGTTCGCGACAGACGCGTTGAACGCGTTCAGGAGAACTTGCCAAGGACAAAAAAGGTCAGTGACTGTTCAGTAAAGTGTGCTCTCATATGAATACGATACCGCAACTGCTCCAGCAGGGATGGCTCGTATGCTCCGGTGTGCCATTCGTCTGCACCACTGTGAGTTCAGATGTGGCTGCCACTGTCACCGACCAAGAGCAGTTCTCGTTTGCAACTCACAATGACAGTGGAACAACAGATCTGGGGCAAGGGGATCAACAAGTTCCAGACCATATCGCTCTCTTTCCCTTCTCTCTTCTCTTCCTCCATCGCACTCTACAACCTCAACCGCAACCTCGACCACAACTCAAGATCACCACTATCACCCACCACATCAACAATCTCATTAAAAGCTACCGCACTCTCTATCAACCACCAGGTACAGTCCCCCATCATCACAGTCTCGTAAACCCAACCCTGCTGACACAGTGACTCACCAGAACATCATGGCTACCATCCCGGACATCGCTTTCCGCGCCGTCGGCCAAATCGGCTTCTGGAAGTCCGCCCTTGATGGAGTAAAGGAAACCTACCCAACTCTCCGAAACGACGCTCCCCGCCGCCAGCCAACTTACCTCCCACCGCCCCTCCCCGTGGAGCAGAAGATGCGCGAAATCTACCGCTTCCAATGGGCTGTAGATGAAAGCATCGTCTTCCTCCGGGACAACGCCACCAATGTGGAGGAGGTGATGGTCTTCCGGGTGGTTGAGTGGCTTGGCAAGATTCAGCGAGATGACACCGGTCGCATTCAACGCATTATCTGGACTCTTGACCCCGAGCGCCTCCGTCGGGAGCTCCGGGACGGCCATGCCCATCTCGTTAATGGGCAGGCTCGCGTGGGCCCTGCCCCTAGCGCTACTGCTGGTGCCAATGCTGGCTCGAACTCTCGTGCCAATACCGGCGGTGCTGCTGGCGATGCTGCTCGTGGTAGCTGAGTTGATCCGCTGGAGTGAAACAAAGAGGGTGGTATCCACTGGGAAAGTCCAGTTGGAGGATGAGTGACAGTCTGGAGGTATTATTGTCTGGAAGCATTTGTGTCAGCGCAGTACTACAGCATGATTCTGTTTAGGAAGGTCGCGTTGGAGGTTAATAGTGTTTCGCTTAGATACCCCAGTTGATATCATGTTGTCATTGAGAACTACTATTATTTGTGATTAGAAATGTGAGTGATGTTAAAGAGCCCTCCCGGAGTCTCGGCTGTTGTCTTGCACCCTGCTCTACGACGAGATCATAATCAATCTGAGAGCGACGCGACAAGGCTCAGAGACCATGGCCTTTAGCTACGAAAAGGTAACATGATGTTTTGAACCGTTATTTATTTATTTTTAGGAAACTAGTCTGATAACTGTAACGAATGTCCTTGGTCTTTTCCTTTCTCTTCAGAAAATAGGGAACCATACCGCCCTGTCCCAATCAACATTCTGATTCTTAGCCTCAATTCGCTCATGACATGTTCCAAAGAGCGTATCCCAAACACGCGTTTGCTTTCCGTAGTTATGACTCTTTCTATACCCCTTACGATGATGAAGATCATGATCCTCAATAACCAATTCCATACCAACTCCCTTCAATAGCCAAGCCAAGGTCGAAGGGGGCATGCCGTAGATGCGAAGACCACTGTGACCCAGAACCTCAGTGAATGCAATGTACTGATGGCAGATCCACCAGTCATAGTAGCCCAAAGGAAGACCGAGGACTTGGAACGTCGCCCAGGTCAGGAAGGGAATGCCAACCATGTCGAAGAATTCCTGCTCGTGGTCGGCGAAAGCAGCGAGAAGAGAGTTGGGATGCTTGGTCAGATGGTGGGTGCGGTGATATTTCCATAGCCAGTCGATGTCGTGCATGGCGCGGTGATAAACGTAGAACCAGAAATCGAGGACGATGCCGTAAAGACCGATCTGGAGCCACAGCCAGGCCCACCACTTTGGATCGCTCATCACATCAGCGGGCGCCTGCGTCGCTCTGTAGGTGAGATGCGTCGCCATAAAGATCCTCGACCCTGTAGTCTTCCAAAGCGATGAAACGACTTTATCAACACCAATATCGGGAATTCCATCTCTCTGATGAGCATCGCCATCTAAGAATCCATATTCATGTCCGAGCTTGGCTGTGGCTTTGACAGAGCGTACAACGGACCAACTAAAGCATACAAAGTAGAGCATAAAGACGATGAAGGGATGGAGTGCTTGGCCTGTGTATGAGAGCCACGATTGATGAATAATTATCGGCACAAAGGCGTGTAAAAGGATCCAGACATGGCTCTGCCATTGAGAAAAGTACGGAATGCGTTCGGATTTAGGGTGCACAGGCACTTCTTTGCCCGGAATGATGGGATAAGTGCCCAAGACGTGGATAATTTGTTGATGGATATTCCACTCTGACTTATCGGCGAGTGGCCATGTCGACTTCATCGACTGAGTCGTCGTCGTCATTGTAAAGGTCGTAGTATATCGTTATCAAGATCAGATAAGAATTTGCTTTTTGTTGATGTGAGATTGTGGTCAATGCTTGTTTATCAGATATGATCAATCACCGGAGATCTCAGCCTTTAATACTCCACGATCTGGGATCAAATGCCGAGGCAAGTTTTTAAAGAGGGACAGAATACACATGGCAAAAAAAGGGGAATGCGATTAAGTTTCATGATCATGTGAGCTATAGCATCATCCCGCAATTCGCAAACTTAGCCCTTTGTGCACTTACCCACTCTCAGCAAGGGCGGGCGGGTACCAACAACTTGGATTGGTGTAGGTTATTCAGGCTGAGATGGATTTTCTGGGGTGCATGGACACCACTACCAAACAAGCTGCAGAGTTCACATTGTGAGTCCTCTTTGGTATCAGATCATCTTCACATGTTTCTCAGCTGGGCCATCTACGCAGTCGCAAACTTGCCTCGAATGGAAGTGCATGACGAAAGAATGTGACGTAATTTTAGATGTGTCGATCATCCCCAACATTTTGGGCTTCTACCAACTTGTTGCTAGGTTCCACGCGAAGCTACATTTGGTAACTTGGTTCGAGACGATGCCGTTAGTGGAATCAGGGTCTCTTTGACGATTCCTTGTTGGGACTAGTTTGCGAGCGAGGGTTCGAGAGATCTGCAGCCTCGGCTTGAGGGGATCGATCACGTTAAGTAAATACCCTGCATCCTGTCACTTAAATCGATGCTGCGTTGTCAAATATCGTCAATGGCTATGTATTCTAGAATGCTAATGACTCAGACTTGAAACCGTGGAGCGAGATGCATCAGAATGTAGCCTGCAACTCCTGCGCCATACCCCCAGACAACACCGTCTGCTCACCCTGAACTTCATGCGGCAGCTCGTACGTATGATACTTTGTCCGATACCAACTCTTAGCATTTGAATCCTCATCGTTACTATCCTTAAACTCGGTATCATCCGCCGCTCTCAAAAAGTACGACACCGCATACCGATCTTCCCTCTGCACGCCCCCAATAGGAAGAACGCGATGCAGCGCAGAGCGAAACCGCTTATTAGATAGAAATCTAAACGTATCGGCAACGTTGATAATCGCGTGGCCCTCGCGCGGCTGCACGTACTCCCACGCTCCCGTCACGGGGGACACGACCTGCAGACCCCATTGCGGCGCGAAGAGGAGGGTTAGGGTGACGATGTCAGTGTGCATGTTTTGACCTACTTCGTCTAGGTTCTGAGTTCCGGGGGGGTAGTGTAGGAAGTAGAGGGTGCTTTTGGAGCGTGCGTCATCGCGGTGGTGGGTGTCGAGGCGGGATGCGCCTCGGAGGTTTAGACCGTCTGATAGGCAGTCCAGAAGTAGTTTTAGAATAAAGTGGCATGATGCGTTGAATTGGTCGAATAGTTGGAGGTTTTCTTCGACGACTGATGGGAGAGCCCAGCGGCCGAGGAGTTCACTTCTTCCAATCTGCTAAGGTGAGAAAGACTCAAGAGGTGATATTGGTAATAGTACCTTTAACGCTTCGAAGCCGTCTTTGAGTGACTTTACAGCCCCGGACTGATTACCAGTAGCTTTAAACCTAATTGGCCAAGCATCAGTTGACGTAGCAAACTGTCTAGCGGGATGAAGCAACCCATGTGCCAACGATACTGTTGGGGTTTTCAGCTTATCCTCAACAGGTTGCGAGAACCAACGCTTAGCGATCTCGCTCACCCTATCCAAGTCTCTCCACAGCTTAGCGGAGCACGAGTCCTGAAGATCGAGATAGAAGAAGCCATCTCTTTCACATGCTTTCAAAAGAGTATCGAGTTCTTTTGAGTCTCTGTCGAAGAGGTTGTTGAATTTTACCGTAAAGAGATTAGCGGTCTCGACGTTGTCGTAGGGTTTAGGCTGGGACAGCATGATGTAGTAAGAGATTGGTAATGGATCAGATGATACTGTTGGGGCTGGGTAATGCAGCTGGATTGGTAAGATGATAGATTCCTTTGCTTTTGCTTCTTAAGTATGAAGGAACTTTTGATGGCGTATGTTTATGGTGATGGAGCTAATTCATCTTCACTAGACTTTCAACTGTGGACTACAGAACTCGGGCGCCGCAACGACGGTTTGACATAGTGGCTGTGTAGTTCACTGTTCCCAAGATCATGGCGCTTCTTCAGCTGTTCGCAGGAACACGAACTTTGTACAATGCGGGGCATTCATTGTATAACGGGCCAACGGCATGTTCAATTTTCCGAAGCCACTGTACAACCTCCTCCGTTATCCATCTGGACAGTTCAGTTCCCACCTGCTCCAGGGTCACACATGCACTTGCGCAAGGAGATCCGCAAGTGCCAGGTCATTGCAGTATCATCACGGCTGCCGTGCACATCGCTGAGAGCGGAGTCACCATTTTTCGTTGGGATACTCGATAGACTTCCGATACAACAACCTACGATGCAAATCTCGGACCCCGCGGAAACGGAGCGGACGTCATTCGCCGAGTTGAAAGGGTGACACAGAATCTGTCAGTGTAACTCGACTCCCCCGCATCTCGATCCATCTCATCTCATGTCAGGAAACGCACTCAGCGCCGCCTGTCCCCCCGTATGCACAAACAACACGTACCGACTCCCATCCAACTCCTCCTTCTCAGCTTTGTGCAGAATAGCACTCACACTCCTCCCCGAGTAAATAGGATCCGTCACAATCCCCTCCATGTCGCCGATCAACTTGACGCCTCGAGCCGTATTATCGTCCCAACCCGTGTGCGTACCGGTATTGAACCTCGTATCGAGGATCACGTCGTCGGGCTGGATTGTATCAGCGCCTAAGCCGATGAGATCCGCAGTTCGTTTTGCTATTTCGAGGATTGTGGCTTCGAGAACGCCTGGTGGCTTGTTGTACGTGTCGATGCCGATTATGGACCGTGACTTACCTCCGGCGAGCTTGAAGCCGGCGATCATACCCGCGATGGTACCGCCTGAAGCCACTGGAACGACGATGGTGTCGAAGAACATGCCATGAGCCGTCTCTTGCTCCGCAACCTCGAATGCCCAGCGCGCAAAGCCGAGTCCTCCGCGTTCATGGGCTGAAGCACCCGATGCTATGACGAACGGACGCCCACCTTGCTTCTCGACATCCGCAGCAACATCTTCGAGCCCGGTATTCGGCGCAGCCAACTCAGCGCCAAGAATACCATTGACTTGCACATTCCCCGCCTGACCAAAAGCCTCCGAACTCGTATGTCCATGTATCTGCGGAACGAGAATAGTCTTGAGACCAAGATGGCTTCCCACAGCAGCGACTTGACGCATGTGGTTGCTCTGTGTACCGCCCGTCGATATGAGAGTATCGCAGCCTTGAGCTATCGCCGATGGGATGACATACTCCAACTTACGGATCTTGTTGCCGCCGAGGCCGAGGCCTGATGAACAGTCCTCGCGCTTTGCCCAGATTTGGGCTTTGGTGGAAGTGGTCGAGTTGATGTGACGCGTTAGATTTGGGAGAGGGTGGAGAGGGGATGGATGGGGGAAGAGGAGAGGAGTGCGCTCGAAGGAGGCGAAGGGCTCTGGGAGGGCAATTATGTTGATAGATGACGAGCTTTCAATGGTTTCAAGACTAGAATATGGTCTTGATCCAAAATGATGAATGGTAGAGATCGTGGCGAGTCGTAGACTTTTCTTTTTGCTCCACAACTATCTGTTCTCTATACCTACTATTTATCTTTTCCCATTTCTCGGTAGTCATCGCTGATCTATGGCCTCAACGATAAGCTCAACGCGAAAACTTACATCGAGGTCCTGACACTGGTCTGGCCGAGCCCTACGCCAGAGCGGCCAGACCCAACAAATCGTTCTTCTCAAACTCGTATTCTATGGCACAGAGAAAAAAAGTGGCTGCTAGTTGCCAAAACCATGCGTCAAGCTGTAGGTATGTCTCGGTTAGCGGATTATTTGACCCTCGAGACAAAAGACATGAAGCCTGCATGGTGTCATGACCCGGAGCCCGGAGACCGAGCGTGTTTTGGCATGCCAAGATGCCAAATTTGCGGCTGTGCCTGTCCCGGTAGAGTTTCTCGTACATTGATTTGCGTAGCTGAGCAGATTTTCAGCCAACTTGGTTGCTCAGAGATTAATATGTACGTCGTTGGTTGTTTCCCAAGCTTGATCAAACCCGGGCCTTTGGTTAAGTCAACCATATACAGCGTATCGCCTATCGTTCATTTCACATACAGTCTGCAAGCTCTTCTGGACCTTGAATCAAGTTCAATATATTGTCAATCACCATGAATACGACAACTACCCCAGAGCAAGCTAACCTTCATACCCTGAACTTCTGTTCGCTGCTCGATGGAGACGTCACCGAGCAAGCGAACCTGCTCTCCGCTTGCGAAGACCATGGCTTCTTTTACCTAGATCTTCGCGATTGGGAATCTGACAAGATTCTGAAAACGCTAGAGGATGCGTGGGTAGTGATGAAGCAGTGGTTTGATCAGTCGCTTGAAGAGAAGATGAAGACTGAGACCATCTCTGATGCTCACGGGTAAGTTACTACCGTCTGGTGAGATCTACTAGCAGAGTTCATCGTTTCAAAGGTTCAAACCGCCGGGCGTACAGTCGGGAGTCAATGAGAACACGCGCGACGGATTTGAAGCTCTGAGAGTACGTTATAGCATGTCCATCTACCGTTAGTCACTCAACTGACATCCTACAGATCAGCCGCGTCGGCCTTCTCAACCGCTCGCATCTACCGGTCGTTGTGCACGAGAACCTCCAACTCTTCGAAACTCTCCAACTTTCCGCCCATTTCCTCCTAAAAACCCTTCTATCCCGCCTCTCCAACGCCGCCGGCCTTCAAGACGAAGAACGATTCGAGAACTGTCATCCCGACCATCTGCCCTCCAAAAGCACAATGTTCTTCATCCACCATCCCCTCAGCGACCTTCTAACCGACAAAACAGCCCGCGGCCACAACGCCCACACAGACGTTGGATCATTCACCCTTCTCTTTACCGAACAGCCTGGCTTACAAGTAATCTCACCTACCACTAATAAATGGGAATATGTCGCTACAAAACCAGGCCATGCGATTATCAACGTCGCTGATACACTTCGCTTTATTTCTAAGCGACGCTTTAGATCGGCTATGCATAGAGTCCTGCCTCCGGGCGGTAAGATGATGGAGGATAGATACTCGGCTGCTTATTTCTTGCGGGCTAGTGATGGTGCTGTTTTCAAGGGGATGGATGGGGATGAGGTCACGGAGGAGGAGTGGTTTCTTAGTAAGTATAGTAGTCTTAATAAGACTATGGAGGAGCAGAGGGTTGATTCTGTTGCTACGGGTGGTATGGATAAGGATCTTGGGTTGGAGGTTTGAGGCTGGTAGTTGGGATGTGGGGACAATCATTGGTGCTCGAATATGAACTTGCGTTGGAGTAGCTCTCGTACCAGCTACGAGAAGTAACTCATCCAAGATTACCAGTCATCTCTACTGTCCTATTACCATAGCTATCTTGTATAAGCGAAGCCCGCCTTGGCTCGAGGTGATGCTTAGGTTCATACCGTGTACAGTTGAGAGACCCGAAGTCTCTTACATCTGACATACTTGGACTTTGCCACCTTGTTCAGATCTGTGACTAGCCGTTTGTGTTCCCCTCCTGTGATTTTTGTTAGTGGCCTCAAATCCTGCAACGCCTCATCATAATCCCATGGAGCTGTCATCTCTCCCGACCTGGCGTTGCCCTTCCTGGTTACCGACATACCCGAGGATTGCTCATTCATCGTCATATTGGGGTGGCGCTGCCTCCTTGTTCCCGCCCCCATGTCTCAGTTACAGTATCTTCCGAGCAAGACGTCTTCAGCCGCTGACTTTCCCTCTCATCCCTCCACTACCCCCCATTCTCTCCCAAAACATCCCTTACTCTCTCTTCTCCTCTCAACGAGCTTTAACTCTGAACACTATGCTTATCACTCATTCCAAATTCCCCTCAGCATCTCTAGGCTATTGTATCATGAAGGGCAAAGAGCCGCAGTACAGCCAAAGAGGTAATCCATCTAACGGACTCGTCAATGAGCGATCACCTACCGTCCAAAGCCTCAACATTCACCACAATCCAACGATGCAGAGAGTGCTTCTTCGAAAGATGAACCATCGACCAGATATCTCGTCGCTGTTTTCGGCAGTGTCTTCATCGGCGTTTTCCTCGCTGCCCTCGACACCACCATCGTCGCTACCCTCTCCGTTCCCATCTCCAACACTTTCGGATCCCTGACCCTCGTCTCATGGCTTGGATCATCATACCTCATCGCCAACGCAGCTTGCCAACCTCTCTCCGGTCGTCTAACAGATATCTTCTCCCGTCGCTCCGGCCTCGTTGTCTGCAACATCCTCTTCAGTCTTGGAACTTTACTCTGTGGAGTTGCAACTTCGAAATGGATGCTACTCGCCGGACGAGTCGTGGCGGGTATGGGTGGAGGGGGCCTCAATGCCATAACGGCGTTTGTGGCTAGTGATCTCGTGCCTTTGAGGAAACGAGGCGTTGTACAGGGCTTCGTGCATATTTGTTATGGCGTCGGTGCTGGTCTTGGTGGGTTGTTCGGAGGCTGGATCAATGACCTCTGGGGTTGGAGGACAGCTTTCCTAAGTCGCGTCCCATTGATTGCCGTCTCCACCATTCTCGTCTCGATTACCTTACGCAATACAACCACCAAACACAGTGATAAGTCGAGATTGTCGAGGGTTGACTTCTCGGGCGCTTTCACACTTTCTTTGACTCTTGTTCTGTTATTGTTGGGCCTCAACTCTGGTGAAAATCTTGTCGCATGGAGCCATCCTCTTGTCTTGGTATCCCTGTCGCTTTCAGTGGCAGCCGCCGGGGCTTTTGTTCTCGTTGAGTCTAGATGGGCGACGGAGCCCATCATCCCCATGCACCTATTACTTGATCAGACAGTACTGGCGGCCTGTCTCATGAATTGCCTTGTGACTATGGTCCTATTCATGGCTACATATTACGTTCCCATTTTCTTTCAGGTCAACGGCTACTCCACAACAGCTGCCGGCCTTCGTCTCTTACCGCAAAGTATAGGGACCGCTCTAAGTTCTCTCACCTGTGGCTTTGTCATGAAGCGTACAGGGAAATACCGAACCTTGGGAATGGCCGTCATAGCATATTCTGCTTTAGGCTTCGTTGGGCTGAGCACTATGAAGATCCAAACGCCGACTCCTCTCGTCTTGACTTATGTCTTCCTGGTTGGAGTGGGATATGGTGGCATGCTATCAGTGTCACTACTCGCAACAGTCGCGGCTGTGTCACATGATGATCAAGCTGTTGCAACCTCTGCCAACTACGCATTCCGGTCCATGGGTTCCACGATTGGTGTCACGATTGCGTCTGTAGTGTATCAGAACTTGCTACAGCACGGCTTACATCGACGCTTCGACAGTAAAGAAGGATCTTCGAAGATAATAAAACGCATTCTTGACTCTTTAGATGAGTTGAAGCAGCTCCCCAGTGGGTGGAGTGACGGCGTTTACAAGGCATATGAGATTTCATTGCGAGGAGTCTTTTTGACTGCACTCGGCGTAGCCATCTTCGGGCTGATCGCAGCAAGCTTTATCAAGGAGCACAGGTTACTTCCGACGATTTCACGTGCAGACAACGATTAATACCTGAAGGATCACTGACGTTTAGTCACTACGTGTTCTGGCTGGTGAATCAGAGCAGTACTCGATATTGAAGTGTATATAAATGAATATGATGACTTTTACAGCCGGCAGATGTTTCTCATTGACTCCCTGTCAACGTCGCCTTGAGTCCCTATCTGTTTTAGAATGCATGAATACCATGGCAAAGCCTCCACAGTGACCAAACGACCAACAAAAGGCGCACGCAAACATGTGAAGCCGAACATGGGTTGTTGTTATAACTTGGTCGAAATATTTATTTCTTACTTAACTTCTCGCCAATAAAGCAAGGCGTCAACGAGACCTATTTATTTCTCCTTGCGCAAGAGACAAGTATATCTATCTGGAGTTCAACGCTGTACTGGCAGTACATGATCTGTTACATTCGACAGCCTGGAACTAAATAACTCTGTATATCAGTCTCATTAGATTTCCTAGCATTAAGGCATCCACCGAAGAAACTATTCAATTATCCGCTTCAGCCTCGACGGGAACCAACTCGTGTGTCTCATCAAAGCAATGCCCACCAAGACTCAAACAAGCTGAACATACAACAAAGTCCCCTCCATTACAAATTCCACAATGTATATAAGTTGGTCCATAGATAGATAACCAACATATGTCACAGTAGGCTCTCATGTTTCGGTTCTGTTCTTGGACAGAATCCTCCACCTTCATGTCAGTTCCCAAATCTTGATACGTATTTCTTTTTGCGAGTAGCCTCGCAACTGCATCGTGACCGCGGCTTGTCGCCCAAAATGCCGGTGCTCTACCAAACGTATCGCTAGATTCGACATCTACAGCGCCTGTATTAAGAAGTGCCCTGATGATGCCGACGCCACCGAATCTTGCTCCAATGGATAAAGGTGTCGAGCCCCAGTAGTCAGCCTCGTCAAACGTTTGCCTTTTGGATAAACCTATAATAAGCTTGGCAACACCAATATGTCCTGACCTACAGGCATGGTGTAAGGTATTATGACCAGAATTGTCTTTAAAGGCGACATTAGCTCCGTGATGGATAAGAAGCTGCGTGATTCGCAAATGCCCCATCGCACAGGAAGAATGAAGTGCTGTCTCTCCACCAAGTGTCTTGACATTTAAGCCAGCACCGTTCTGTATCAGAAACTCCACTATATCGATAAATCCGCAGAATGAAGCGATATATAGTGGCGTGTAACCGCCCGCGTCACTGGCGTTCACATCAGCGCCGCTTTGGAGTAGCAGCTTCAGTACCTGCTGATAACCTGAGCGAGGGAAATCAGGCGATTCGGCAGCTTCTTTTGCGTCGAAGTCGATCGAGAATCCACCATAGGCACCATAGGAGGCAGCCAGAAGCAATGGCTGGGTCTCCGTTGGATTGAGGCCCTTGCTAATCAGAGCTTTCGCCATGTTGTGATGTCCATTACCAGCCGCCACAGCAAGTAATGAGAATACCCGGCCCTGAAATCCAATCTCATTCAGTTCTGCACCCTCATCTATCAGTAACTCAGCAAGTTCGGAGTGGTTGCACCACACAGCCAGAAAAAGCGGAGGGTGGCCGTTGGCCGCCACCTGATTGACATCTGCACCACTTTTAATAAGAAGCTTGGCCAATTCGAGAAACCCCCTGCTAGATGCCATCGAGAGAGGTGTGAAACCTTCTGCTGTTTCGTGCGATATATCAGCTCCACTGTCGATAAGTTGCCGAACCACCTCAGTATTGCCACTCATTGAAGCCAAGTTAAGTGGTGTTTGTCTCTCATCGTCGACCACTGAGACATCTGCGCCTTTCGATATAAGATGTTTCGCAATTCCATCGCCTCCATCCTCCACAGAAATGTGCAATGGTACCTGACCTTGGCGGCATCTTGCATTGATATCGGCACCATTGTCAACGAGTAATTCAACAATATCCTGACTTTCTACAAAGCAAGCCCAGAATAATGGAGTCGAATTGCCAAACGATCGATCCTCCATATCAAAGCTCCCTTCTCGTATGATATGCGCCACAGTGTCTGTGAGTCCACTGCAGACTGCAAACACAAATGGGGTCATTGACCTTTCTTGGATATCAGGGTCAGCATCGAAGATGCGGGTCTCCACGAACTCCCTCATAAAGGGCCAGTTCTCATTTAGACTATAGGGGAAAGCGTTGATTGCCTGCTGCAAATCCGGATCCATAGTCTCAACACCTCGGCAATGCTCCAAACCTTCATCTACGGCATAGAAAGTGAAGTGCTTTGCTGATCTTTCATTATTGTTCATCTTCAGGATTTCCCAAACTCCACGGAAGCTTATGAAATGAAGACAAAGTTTCGCGAGAATAGTATTGTGGATATTTAGGTTGGCGACGCGAAGTGTCTCATTTGAGAGCAAAGCACCAGTGCCGGGAAAGGTTTTGAGGAGGAGGTATTCTTTGACAGAGAAGTGCGACAAGTGAACCTCTTGCAAGCCAACAGAATCCTCTTCTGATTCTTTAATACGTTCGGGATACTCGGTATTTCTGGACGACGAAACGTGGCGGACTTCAATAAGGGATCCGCAAAGCTCTAGGATCATACTGTCGACATAGTCATTGTCGACACAGTCTGGCATCTCTTCAAAAGGGAACTCTTCCAGGTCTTCTGTAATGAGAACGGACTCCGCAATCTCGTACACTGTCAACGGTCGGAATGCAAACGCAGCCCATCGCAGCAATGAGAAAGCTCTATCTTTATCCGAATCCCCCATTGAGTTGATTCTGTTCCATTCCCGGTCGTAGAGACTGTCAAGACCAGACGGAGTCTCGTCAATCTTTCGTTCAAGTTGCTTTCTGCTTCTTCCCTTTCTCAGAGAGCCTTCTTGAAGCTTGACCCACTGGAACTGGCCCTCACTTCTGTCTTTCATCCTTTGGGCAATAGAGGCCCTCGTTGATTCGTCCTTGTTTGGTAACTTTGCGTTGACAAGTTCAGATGAGTATGCCATTAAGTCTGCCCCAACGTCGTCTGGGATGATGGTATATTCGCTGTATCGAGTGAACTCTGAAAGACCTTGCTGAATGAGAGCATCGCCACGGCTTGAGATTAATATCTTAGTTGTAGTGTTGGTGATAGCTATGCGCAATTCCTGAAGAAAATGGGGGACGGACTTTGTGTCTGTACTGGTCATCCCAGTGCACTCGTCCAACCCGTCTAGAACAAGAATACAATCTGGAGTTCCTACGACAACGTCTCGGAAAACTCGTAGAATTGTCGCTTGATTTGCCAGTGATTCATGCTGTGACAAACGCGCTCTTGCCACCATGTCCCGAATAGTCGAGTTCCGTTGCATCAACATGGTCAACCACACCCGTATTGTCGAGAAGGGATCATCGCGACCCTCATACCTGGAGGATAAGAAGAAGTGGGCGACCGGTCTTTGTGCTATCCTCTCCAGTTCTTGAACGATCTTGGCGCAGAGGAATGTTTTCCCAAAGCCCGCTGGACCTTTGATCCAGAGTACTTGGCTTGGGGAAGAAGTTTTCTGCCACTCGAGGAACTCATCACGACGGAGAATCCACTCGCAGGTTTCTTCAACACGCGTATCGTTTGAGTCGCTGAACACGTCGTTTGGCTTGGGTGCACCAAGCCACGCGTGCAAGTCTCGTGTTTTCTCAGCTACCAGTGTCAGCGTGAGCAATTAGTCTTGGCAAGTAAGACATTTACCTTCCATCTCCTCCTCAATCTTTTGTAGTAGCTCTCGAATCTCTTCAGCATATGGTTGTGAGGTTGATAAGTCTTTAGAACTTGGAGTTCGAGTTAAGGCTTTTGAGCCCGTATTATCAGGCGCAACCACGCTATAAAGATCCGATACGAGACTTGCAAGGGCCTGAACATGGCTTGCCTCCTTTAGCTTTCCGCGCAGCGCCCATGTTGTCTTCTTCCACTTTGAGATTTTAGATCCATGCGACGATAGATCTCCCGATAGTGGAAACGACGGAGTCTTCTGAAGGGCGTTGGGGTTCGGGGGCTCACTCGACGTCATGGAGAAGTCCTTGATACTCTTCAGTAGACCTTGGACGACTGCGAACGTGCGCGAATTGTCAAGATCTGGATGATGGTTGTCCGAGAGCTTGCCTTTGCTAATGCCGACTCCATCACCCCATCGCTCGAACAGATGCATAGTCGCGTTGAGCTGAGCATCAAGCTGTCGGGAGTCGCGGCCAGCAGTTCTGTACGAGTCAACCCGCTGCATAATGTCCATGCAGGTACTGAAGAGGCCGACAAGGCCGACTGCCAGCCCGACTGGCTCCATGGCGCCTTTCTATTCTCGTGAGGGGAGCTTAGGAAAGTAGAAGAGGACTCATGCTCCGACGTTGAACGCGTTGTTTCTGTTCTCTCCTGCTTACAGCGGGGTATGCATGATGAGGTTTCGGTGAGTAAGCCAGCTTCAGCTGCAATGCCGGGGGGTTGAAAGTCGTCGAGGTAGCCAATGAGATGGGGGAGTTTCATGCAGGTTCTCGGCGCGTAATGCATTTTCAAGATTCGCCACCTGTTAAGTAGTTGAAGCCTGATACTACATACTTTGTTCATTCAGAGTAATTTGGGCTTCGCTTTACGCCAAACCTCTCAACTTATATCACACCACCACTTCTGTACTCTAGGTAACCAGTTAGTGGTGTTCACTCTCCGTATAGCAATGGTAATAAGTACTCAATTTAGAAACATGGTAAAATGCATAGCAGACTATTCTTGACCAGCCGCGGCTGGCTAACAAGTCCCACGGTACCCGATCACGAGTATATCCAGCCGCCACCCCAGCGCCCTGGCACTTGGACATGAAGTCACCCCCACCAATTGCGCCGTTGTAGTTTTCGTTGCACGTCGTTCCGCTCCATGTAGCCAGGTATTCATGTTAGCATTTACATGCCGCTGAGAAATCGGTACTCACTGCACCAGAATAGCGATTGCATGCTGTGTGAGTGAGGCTGTTAGTGCCATTGACCCTGATAAGTCTGGTCAGTGGGTTGTATACCCTGGTGTCTCGCTCAACGGTTGTCTGGTCGGCTGGAACTCTTTTACCTGGTTCACAGCTTGGCTCTGCATGTTCCGGGGAGTCGGCCTCACCGGACGCGGCATCTACTTTACCATGGGCTTGCCAGTCATAATGGGCATCATCCTTATTGAACGCGGTGTGTCACTCCCCAATGCTAGCGAGGATATCAAGCTCTATTTCGCCAGTTGGCCTAGTTCAAAACTTGCCGGGACCAAAGTTTGGCGCGATGCCGTCGGTCAAGTCTTTTTTTCGACAGGGGTTGGGTTCAGATACTACACAGCCTACGCCTCATACAACCGCAAATTCGCCAATGCGGCTCAAGATGCAGTCATCATCGTCCTGTTCAACTCATCTTTCGAGGCCCTGGTTGCTTTTGCAGTTTTCGGTATCGTTGGGTATCTCGGCATGCGTCCTGAAGGAACCGGCGATATTGGAAGCTATGGGCTCGGCTTCATGACGTATCCCGAGGCCTTTATCGAGATCCCTGCTTCGGGCTTCTTTTCTGTCATCTTCTTGTTCACCATTATGCTACTTGGTATCAGTTTGTCCTTTGCTATGTTGGATGCAGTCATGACGTTGATCCTCGATTCCCCATTTGCCATAAACTGGAGTCGGCCTTGGGTTACTACCACCATGGTCACGATTTGCTTCCTCCTTTCGCTTCCTCACTGCACTGAGTTTGGCTACTTCTCTATAGATGTGATTGGCCGATGGATTAATAACATTGGCCTCGTTTTTTGTTGTTTGGGCGGAGTGTGTTGGGGCGACTGCTCTATATCGATTTAAGGATGTTGTTGGTCAGGTCGGAATGCCTTCATTTGCTTTATATAATGTTGGCTTTCTGAGTGGTTAGCTACTTAGTATCATTGTCTGCGACCCCTTGGGCCGGTGCCGTTGCTGGCTTCGGGCTCTATTTTATTTGTCTTGCTGCTTCATTGTTCCTTGCAAAAACACCAGATGCACACTTGCACCGCGATTACTATCCAAGAACAAGATAACATCCGTCTTTTACTACGTTGTCTTCTACTCGGTAAGTTTGACCTGATCTACTGATAAGAAACCAATCAATTAATTTGTGGGCGTGCTTTAGGGCAACCAACCAAGACACGATCTCAACTCTGTCGTCGGCAATGGTCAAAACTCGTCTCCCCCCTTCCTCTGGGCACCATGCCGCGATATATCCCGGGATCTGTCCTGGCTATCATCTTCAGCTTAGCCTACCCCAGCTTCGAGGAAGTCAAGAATGCTCCACTATACATCCTTGGCTCCATCTCAGCGCATCTTTTACTTGTTTGGTGTGTGATTGGTTTCGTCTTTCCCAGGTGGTTCAACGTGTTTATTGTCCCTGGGCGTCGTGATGACTGGAAGCAGCCGTATGCTCCCAATGTCCTTCGAGGGACAACTGAGGGTGGTGAGGTGACCAAAGCAGAGACTGGTATGCCTAGTGGAGATGCTAGCATGTCGAACGAAGGTGTCAAGGTGTGATTTAGTGAAACGTATTTTTTTCAGCGGTATTGTGAGTGATGATTGGGTTTTTAACTATACCTATATAGCTTAGTATATGACAGTCTTATGGTTCCAATCGGTTATCGCAGCGTAAAAGGCAGTTTAACCCGCAAGCTCCTGGACTAGTCAGATTCATTACCATCTGCTGGGGTCGATAACCATCAAGGTTGCTACTCCGAAACCTGGAGCAAAAGCCGTTATCGTCGTTATACCCCTGTTCCTAGATCTTATCAAACGAATCGGAGTAGTCTGCAAAACTGATAAGCGGCCGAGTTCGGGAATATCTTTGCCTGATCAAGCTCGGCGTATCTCTTATCTCGAGACCACGCAAGACATGCATTGCGCTAATAATAAGCTTGTTTATTATTCTCTCAACTCTAATTAACGTTTATCCAGAGAAATGGTATAAATGCAGTTAAGGCATTGCTTGGCAGCGAGTCGGTCACGATAGCATCGCGAGGGATTTCTTTGCAGTATTACCAAGCATGGTCGATAAGAATTATACCGACAGGGAGTCGGTGTCAATTAATGGATCCGGGTCCTAAGATAAGAATGGCAGCTGTGAAGCCATTTAAACATGGCCATGTCCCTGTACCCACGGACTTTACCGCCATTCAGCAAATTTACCTATTTGTGCGTTCAAAATGAGGCGTTCTTCTTTTCTATGGTTTCTAGCGAGCCTGCTTGCCGAAGCAGTACCCCTCAACTCCCCGTCTGTCAAGTTCATATCTCCCTCTAAAGTCAGCCCCGGTAGCGCACAAAATGTGGTTGTTGAATACACCGGTGATGTGGACGGGCACTTGACTTTGAGCTATGGCGCATGCGGTGATGCGGTAACTGTTTCCGAGACCGTCCATCATATCGGGTCGACTCATGTTGGCCAGCATCCTCTGGCGAAGCGCCATCTTGATCATCAGGGCCAGCGGCCAACGCGATTTGTCTGGCTGACATCGGACGATGTCTCTGGGGGTTGTCTTAGCGCCTTCTTGGACGGTGAACTTATCGGCCAGTCTGATGAGATCGACGTTGTCAAGCGCCTTGCACGTCGAGGCGAAAAGAAGAAGTCTTTTGCGGACGTTGCCGGTGACGACAGTTTGTGGTTCGATGGCGTTGCATATCTTAAGCAGAAACAGCCTGATGATGTTTTTGTTACCGCCACAAAGAATAAGACCTTCGGCATTTTGGGCGGTGGCATGTCTGGTCTTCTATCCTCGGTAAGTGATGCGCCCTCGTCCCGAATACGAAGTTAACGGTTCGTTCCCAAGCTCATTCTTGACTCTGTTGGAATCCACAACTGGAAGATTCTCGAGTCCTCTGAGCGAATTGGAGGGCGTGTCAGAACTGTTTACTTGAATGGTACCTCACCGGAAGACGGCCAATACCATGAACTCGGACCCATGAGATTCCCGTACGAGCTCACTGACTCGGAAACAAACGAGACCTTTCCTTTCATGGATCAACGAATGATCTTTCAGCTAGCTGACGTTCTCAATGGAATGAACTCAGGCAACAAATCACTCCAAGTCGAGTTCTGGGACTGGATCCAAAGCTCTCCAAATACACCTGTCGACACACCTTTTCGACGTCCAGATGGTTCATGGCCTACTAAGGCTGAAGTAGCGAACGACCCAGCATATTACAACCCGCCTGTCTATCATAATGAGACAGCGGCTGAGGAAGCCATCGAGGCTTTGGATGACTTCAAAGGACTCACTCCTGAGCGCATTCGTATGTATGCCTCCAATATCTTCAAGGCGTACAAACAAGCGAAAGAGGATGGATCATTCGATTATTCCGAGGTATCTTACCTCCGAGATGTCATCAAGGCAGACCTCAACACGACAGATGAAGTCTCGCCCTCGCATATCTACTGGCCTATGTGGGAGTACGAAACCGTTTACTTCCTGGCTAGCAAATGGGTCACTATCAAAGGTGGTCTCAGCCGCTTACCCGCTGCATTTGAGCCACACGTCAAAGACAGAGTTCAGTACAACGCCAAAGTCAACGGTCTACAGTACAATAAGAACAAAACTCTATCTGTGTTCTGGAAACCTACTGGCTCTGAACCTTTCAGCACACCGAACAATGTTCAGAACTTTGACTATGTTCTCAACAGTGTACCACTCAATTTGATGAAGTTTTGGAAGATGCCACGATACTCAAGTCTTTTGAAACGTGCTATCGATAGGACCTTGTATGCCAACGCCTGCAAGGTCGCTGTTCAGTTCAAGACGCGCTTCTGGGAACATCTTGATAAGCCTATCATCGGCGGCTGTACCCGTCTCACCAGTCCTCAGTTAGGACAGGTCTGCTATCCTTCATGGCACATCAACTCCACAGGCCCCGGAACTATGCTGGCGTCTTATCTCTCCGACTACGAAGCAACAGCCGCATGCGCCATGCCAGAAGAGGAACATCTAGCCTACATAAAAAACGCGCTTATCGAAGTCCACGGCGATGTAGTCGAAGAGAACTGGACTGGACACTGGGCGCGGCAGTGCTGGGAGCAAGAGGAACATCATGCTGGTGCTTTTACGATGCAGATCTTTGGACAGCAGCATTTGTATCTCCCTGCGTTTTATCAGACGGAGTTCAATACTGTTTTTATTGGGGAAGCTGCGACTTTTACGCATACGTGGACTTTTAGTGCGCTTGAGAGTGCGGTGAGGGGAAGTGTGCAGTTGTTGTTGGACCTGGGGCTCGTTGATGAGGCGAAACAGGTTACGGAGATATGGATGGCTCGTTGGATAGACGTGTAGATAGAATGGAAGCGATGTCAATTATGTCTCAGCTACCGCTGACAGGCATCCCCCCTACCCCCATATGTCATTCCTGGCCATTACTTATCTTCAAAGAGTCTTATCTCGTAGATCGACACTGAAGCTCCACCAGGGACCCTGCTGGACGATGAGAGTCCCCGAACAGCCAATGGGCTATTTCACCGAATTTTGGTCCGGTCACTGCATGCTGCAGCATTAGGCGCTGATACAACGCGTAAGTTTCCGATGATCTGCACAAACTGACGGTGATGCAATGACCTGGTTGTTGGCGAGTTTGCACGAATGAACTTCACAATCATGTCTCAGATAAACAATCACAAACATCGAACGGTGGTAATCTCTATATATAAGATGTGTATTCATGCTAGACTACTAGAGTCATGGGAGTATCTAAAAGGTCATAGCTACAATCGTAGCTTCTATAGATGCGTCAAATCATGTTAATAAGCAAAATGTTGGTTCCAGCAAGCTAGAACAGAATGTCGAATGCCAGTTCGACCTTAGACAGCAGAGTCGGTCATGACTCCGTTGTCGCCCTCTGACTCGAAGTGAGACGCTTTGATGTCATCGTCACTGCCGAAGCCATACTCACGAGCCTTTTCGTGAACCTCGTGATCCTCCATAGGAGGGAGCTCCTTAGCAGCAGTGACGTAGCTCTTCTTCTCAGTGTAGCCCTTGGCGAAGATCAGATCAATCTCCTCGAGGGAGCGACCAGAAGTCTCGGGGTAGAAGAAGTAAATGATGGGGAAGAAGCAGGCGTTCATGGCAGCGAAGAAGGCGTAGGTGCCCCAGCCGTTGGTGCCAGTGCCATGAATCATAACGGGGGTGATCATGACGATGAAGAAGTTCCAGAGCCAGTTGGAGACGGTGGAGGTGGCGTTGGCCTTCGCGCGGGTCTTGAGGGGGTTGATCTCAGCAGGGTAGAGCCAAGGGAGGGGCAGCCAGGTGGCACCGAAGAAGGCGATGTAAGTGAAGAGACCGACAGCAGCGCCCTTGGAAGCAGAGGCAGTACCGGGGATGAGGGCGCCGAAGGAGAGGATCATGGACAAGCACTGGCCGACTGTTCCAATGAGGAAGAGCTTGCGACGACCGACACGCTCAACGGCGAACCAAGAGGTTGTAGCGAAGATGGAGTAGATGATCATGTTGACACCGCCGAGGAGGAGAGCCAGGTTGTGATCGGTACCGATTGACTTCTGGAAGAGAATGGGGAAGTAGTAGATGACGGCGTTGCAACCTGAGAGCTGCTGCATCATCTGAGAAGAGGCACCGAGAATGAGACGTCGGAAGTGCTGGGTCTTGCCGCCAGTGAAGAGAGCAGAGAAAGGAGTCTTGCCGCCCTTGTGGCCAGCAGCAGCGATGGCCTTCTCAATGGTAGCCATCTGGGTGGTGACATCGTGAGAGTCGCGGGGCTGACCGTTAAGACCTGCAAGAATCGTTGCTGCTTCTTCGCGACGGCCATGGGTGAGGAGCCAGCGAGGAGACTCGGGAAGCTTCATCATCATGACGAGGACAATGGTAGCAAAGACAACCTGAAAAGCGATGGGGAATCGCCAGACGAAGGGAGCGGGACCATAGGTACAGCCGTAGTCGATCCAGTAGGCGATCAACGTTCCGATGGCTACGTTGCCGCCTTCGATGCAGATGAGCTTGCCTCGGTTGTGAGACTCACTGCACTCGGCCTGGTAGGTAGGGATAGTCGATGTGTTGACTGAGACGTTAGCATCAATGCACGCATGGGGAATGGCGAGGTGACCTACTTCCGTTACCAATACCGGTGATACATCTTCCAATGATGAATTGCGCCGTGGCACCACCGCTAGGAGGAACAGCAGCGATCTGGATAACGACACCAATGATCATGATAATAGCACCAAGGAAGATGGAGTTGCGGCGACCGAGACGGTCACCAAAGTTGAGGATGAAGAGAGCACCGAGGAAGCAGCCGACAGCGTAGATGGAGACGACGAAGCCTTCGTACGTCTCGTCAAGAACCTGGGGGAAATCGTCTGTGAAAGCGGGAGCTGAGATGATACCGGACATGACACCTTGATCTACATGAAACACAGCCGTTAGTATTTGCTCAAACGCACAGATACAAGGGCAAACATACCATAACCGAAGAGAAGAAAGTCTGTAGTAGCGACTATAGTGATGAGCTTTTGAAGACCCTTGCCGGTCTTGCCCCAGTAGTGCGGCACACCATGCTCGTTATCGACGTGAACCATGATGACTGATTTCTTTTAAAAAAGACCAGCTCTTGATGTTGGATAACGATTCAAACTGAATTCAGGTCTGGGAGATTCACAATCCTTTATAAGGACAATCAGCAACACCAGCGCCAAGTAAACTCTGGAGCTCTACGTGGATCACTTCACCCACAAATTCCCCAATGTTTTTTTTTCCCTCTCAGTTCATTGTCACAGTTATACAAGTGGAGAAAAAGAAAATGCAACTTGATAAGCCGAGAAATGACTCGGGCCCCAAAAACTTGGCACGGTGCAGAAACTTGGAGTACGATGAGGAGAAAACTCTGGTCCCTTGAACCGATAACCTTAGATAAACTACATGTGAAAGGGTCGCCTCCAACCAAAGAGATTTTTAACCATCGCGAATAACGTCACTTGGCGGGAACTACGCTGTCAAGGGGCCCCGCTGACGTAAGAAGGGAAAAAGAAACACTGGGTCTACTTAACAAAATCAATGAGAATTATCGTGTTGGTGATAATAATTGTTGAAAATTTTTAAATATGGGTAAAATGACGTTGACGGGAGAGATACGTCATAGGCGTTTGGTGATCTTCACAATTTCCTAATAGAGACAAGGACCCTTGAATCAAGAGGCTCCATCGCTCGGCTCTTTATCCCTGTACGTGTTGTGTACCATTACATGACTAGATTCAATCCTCTCATACGAGTTGGAGAAAATGACGAAGTCGCTTTTGTACACCGCATTAATATGTTTTGAGGAAAGATTGTTGCTGTCGACAGATAGAGTTGACCATCACTAAGGGATCGTCAAGATATGATCGGCACGTCACAACACAACATAACCGAAATGAAGCAGGGAGTAAGATCTTGCGGAGTATCGTCTCATACTCCAGATAAAATAACAACCCGAGAATAACCATAACGAGTCTCCATAGTGATATGAGCTTACTCCGTATGAAGTCTCCCCTTTTCTCCAAGTTTTTGTGCTGTCGTGATTTCTCAACCCGCGCCGAGAATAAATTGGGGAATAGTGCCGAGGTGTGTGGGGTTTTAGTGGGTAAGGCTCTGGATAAGATTTAGTTCTCACAGCAACGTCATTAATTTCTAAGGGCGGCTATTCCGTCACTCGTGGCAAAAGTGGTATCGGGTAGGCCGCGGATTATTGTTGTTCAAGATTGAATCGCCTTGTGAGGCTATCGCCACTGCCTATCTTAAAGAAAGAAAAATTCTAGAAGATTTTAAAGTTTTGTTGTTTTCTTTTAGAATTCTAAAGTACTGTGGCGGTCGATGAATCTGTAGCACAGTGTTGAGCATATCTCCATGGAGCTAGATGTGAGACTGTGTATGTCGCAAAACATTCCAGCATCGAATCACAGCAGCGACAAGACCAAATACCGCTCAAAGCACAAAATAGAGTGAAATTAACTTCAACAATAAGCACGCTGATCTCATGTCTCATCCCAGTAATGCCCAGAGCGATTGTCATCACGAGTTATCTATTCTACAGGACCCTCATCGGTTAGACAAATTGGGTCTTCCGTGGATATCTTGGCCTTTCTGATCTTCACTTCTCCCCAGTATTTTTTGTGATGAAAAGTGGTCTGCAAGGACATATTACCGTTGCTGTGTAGACTTTGCTTGGCGTGGTTATGCGTGCGGGATGATTGTCACTGTTGGCTGCAGTTAGGAGCGGAGGCTGTGTTAAGGTGAGCTGAGAATTTCCCCGTGTTCACAAGCGAGAGATGGAGAAAACCTGGAGCCGATTGTGAGTTCAACGTTGGCATAGGGTAGTTATCGTGAATATTGGGGTAAGACGCGTTATGCTCTACGCGTTAAGACGCGTGGCTAATCAAGGCTAGCTTGTTCTGTCAACAGGGTCTTGTTCTCTTGTCACATTATAATCCCGACAACTCAGCAATCACTGCGCATCTCAAGATAAGCTTAACAATTAAACATCAGAAACCTTGTTCAATAAACTGACTTATGCGCGTTTATCGTCCTTGAAAACAACCTACGCTGTTGATCTTGTCGTGTCCCAAGATCAACGTGCCTTATTACCCAATTCGGAAACTCTCCTCGTTCACGCGTGCAGAGCCAAACTTGGTGATTGGACCGCGTCTTGAGACATGATTGACTCAGTCAAGTCAAACCGCCAAGAAGTCATCAGGAAAGACTCCTCCGACGATAGCCAAGCCCAGATATAAACTGGGTATTAAGCATTGATCCCTCGGGCCAAGACTTGTTCCGTCCCGCGTGATCCACAACCCCCCAGTTCCCGCTGTTGGTCCTGTTGCTTATCTTTCTTGGCTGACTTGGAGGCATTTGAAAGTGGTAAGCCGATGTTGGAGAAACTCCGCAATGCGAACCCGCGAGAAGCGATAGAGTTTATGCTTGATGCAGGAGCTATGAAGATCAGTGACCCTGCAGGGAACAGACCTTCCGACTGGAGGTATCTGCCTTGGTGAGGCATTGAGAGCATATCTTGGCGGTGCAGCCGAAAACAACTCACCTGTCGCAGGGGAGAAAGAATTACTGGTACCCCGACTTGTTGGTGGACATCAGGCCGCCTCGAAACTCAGTTTTGACGACAGTCATAGCCGAAGCCACGGTCGCATCTAAGCCGTTCCAGTGCGAAATATTTACTTGCACACAACTTTGGTCTTGAGATTACAAATAACTCTAAGGGGGTAAAATGATACAGTTTCGAGTTCATCATCATCTGCGCCCTTGGACCCTAACCGTTGGTATACCAACATAGTCGCCAGAAAAGTATGTCCTCAATCCTTCTTCGCAGTCCAGACAACCGCTCGACGCAAGCTTTCCATGAACCAAGTATCTTTATATGCTTCATCAAAATGACCCAGAGCAGTGTAATACACTCTTCCCCTTCCGACCGTCTGAGTCCATGACAGAGGAAAGCCAGCAGATTCAGCGCCCTCCTCGTTGCTCTCTTGCACTGAAAGTAAGATCGTGCGGCCTTCAACGCGTGGGTGCGATCTGAAGGTATACACCTCGTCGAACCATGGAAATTGGCTCGCTGGAAGAGACTCTGTCTTGACAGGACAGACAGGTGCTTCTTCTGGTGCAGATTCTGGACTAGGAAGAGACTGACATCCGTTGATGAAGTGATCGGGGTTTTCGACGGCAAGAGTCATCCACTGTGGCGGCGGGTGGCCATTAAACACCTCGCCCAAGATCTTGGTATACCTGGCATTTGTCTTCAGGCCGGATGTAGCTGCATGAATGCCTACAACACCACCACCATTCTCGACGAAATTTAACAAAGAGGTGACTTCTTCTTCAGCTAGATAATCACCGGTGTTGTGTCCGAGAGCAACGACATCGTAGTCTGAAAGTGAGAGCAGTTCTGTTGAATCTTCAGTTGCGCTAACGGAGAATGGCAGTGAGCTGAAGGCTGAGATCATGGTGGAAATGCAGTCATGACGGTAGCCGCAAGTTTTGGTAAGCAGTAGTACTTTGATCTGTGCTGTCAACGACATCTCTGTTTATAATTTTTGTAGATTTGAGAAAACCAAGAGAGCTTCAAGTGAAAACGCGCGGAACCATAGGCTGCCAGATCTTACAACTCACTTAAAGGAACCTCATTCAGCCATCAATGATGATGCTGACGGACGAATGAGATGATGCAATTGTGGAGTGAGTCATGCTCCGAGGAGATGTGATTGGCGGATGAATTTGGCTCCGTTCATGAAGCTGACTGTATTGTCAGCATTCCTACATCAACGTTAAATGGAGGGCGAAAGAATAAATCGAAAAGGTCTATTCCAAAATCGTCAAGTCTATATGCTATATATAACGCGAAACAAATCCAATCTAAGTGCCTCTAACCAGGTTTTTATATCTATCTACAGGCGGCTAGTGAATGGGTTGGCCCTAGTGGCCTCCTGACCATAGAGCTCAGGATGATCAGCCTTGATCATGTCGGCACCCTAGGAAACATGTCAGTAAAATCATCAAGAATGGGCTGAGACGAACTTGCCTTCTCTCCAATCATGTAGACAGAGTTCTGGATGCGGCAGTCAGGAATGACTGGGATGACCGATGCATCAGCAATGCGGAGGTTCTTGATTCCGTGAACACGAAGGCGAGAGTCAACAACACCCTGCTGGATGTTCTTGGAGAGACGTGCAGTACCGCAGGGGTCTGAGAGTTATGTTAGTACATATTCTTAATATGACAGAGTGGACTTACGGAAACCAGTCTGGCTGCGATCAAGGACAGCCCTCTTCATCTCCTCATCAGACTCGAGGGGCATTCTCCAAGGATATTCGCCGAGCACAATGTCCTTGAAGCCCTTACCAGTAGTGAGAACATCATAAGTCCAGCGAACACCCTCGCGCATAGCAAGAATATCAAGATCATTACCAAAGAAGTTGAGGTTGATGTTGGGCTGGACAAGAGGATCGTTGCTGTTGAGAGTGACTTGGCCTTCAGAAAGTGGACGGAGAAGATCAACGATGACGGTCATGTAGTTGCCTTTCTCAGGAACGGGGTAGTGCCATTGGAAAGCGGTGCTGAACATGCCGACGAAATCGAGTTCAAAGTGAGGTTGGCCCTTGGGACCGAAGGGGTCGAGACCACCGTTCGCAGCCTTGGCTTCACGGTAGGATTGGTGCTGCTCGAGACGCTCATCGATACGGGGAAAGCCGACGAGTTCGAGGAGACCAGAGCTAACAGGACCAGTCTTGTCGCGCTTGTATTGAGCAACAGCAGCGCTGTTGGCAGCACCGTCTCGGAGGATGTAGTCCTCTAGACCAAAGCCATCCTTGACTTGGAGAACAAAAGGAACGATGGGATGATCGAGAAGATGCTGGCCAACGTGAGGAGAGTCGAGCTTGACGTTGATGTCGTTCTTCTTGAGTTCCTGAGCGGGACCGACACCGGAAAGCATGAGAAGCTTGGGCGTTTCGAAAACGCCCTGAGACAAAATGACTTCCTTGCTGGCGAAGACGCTTAGTTCTCCCTTGGTATCATGGTTGATGACGGTGACGCCGAGACAGGTGTTGGTGCGAGGATCAATGATCAGCTCCTTGGACTGAACGCCATAGAGGATATTGACATTGGGCTTGTTCTTGAGATACAAGAAACTTCCCTGTCGCTGACCCCCATGGATGGTATCAACACAATGCGTAAGACCCCTCATCTCACCATCGTAAATATTCTCCGTCAAAACCTCGCCCTTGGAAACCCACGCTTCAGTCAGAGCATCACGCCAAGGCTGCATCTCAGGAACAAGATCAGCATGCGCAATCTGAATAGGTCCCCCCGTACCAATCTTCCCCAGCTCAGCGGGATAAAGCCCCTCCTCATCATGATAAGTCGCACACTTGCGAAGATACTCCACGCAACCATCCCAATTCCAATCCTCCCCACCAAAAGCCTCCCAGTCGTCAAAGGTAGGCTTGGAGCCGGGGATCCAGGTGAAGTAGTTGGCGCAGGACGAACCGCCGAGGACTTTTCCGCGGGTGTTGGGCTTCTCGATGCGCTCGTAGTCGTCGCGCTTGATCATGGTGGACTTGTAGGCCCAGTCGTGCTTGCTGCCGCGGAGGTTGAAGGCCTTGGAGGGGGTGGTGATTTCGGGGATTTGGTGCGGGTTGGGGATGCCGGCTTCGATGATGAGGATGCGGATGTTGGGGTTTTCGGCGAGACGGCCTGCTACAGTGTTTCCTGCGGTGCCGCCGCCGACGATGATGAAGTCGTATTCATTTCCATTTGCGACGAAAGCCATTTTGCTGAGTTGAACTTCTTGAGTTGAAGGTGTTGTAAGAGTGAAGGAGTTGATGAGCTGAGTCTGTCGACGAAGTAGAGGGGCTTTGAGTAGTCAAGGTGTTTGTAAGTGAAGTCTGAGTGATTGCTGGATTGCAAAACACCAAGACCCATCGTGAGCCATGATATTTATATATCTCATCTTGCAATGTCGTCACTGACAAGTTCTCCATCTTCAAGATGGAGAACACCGACATACGCGTCTGACGGCATCTCAATGCCGACAATTCTGCTGCAACATTGATCTTTGCTTCTGTACGGATCTCTCGGTGTTCAACCAGTGACGTATTCCCCATCCGAAAACTTCGGCACTTAACAGGCACAGCCAAACCCCCAAAACCCCCAAAGCGCCACAAAACCGCAGAATTCGCAAATCTTGCACAAAACCCGTCTTACAAAGAGCCTTACCAAGACGCCGAGTCAAGCCTCAAAGCGCCATAAACTGGGAAAGCTCGCATAACCCGGGCAAAACCCGTGTTACAAACAATATGACCAAAGATGCCGAGTCAGCTCCGGTAACCATTTCTAGAACAGCTTGGCTCGGGGTCCAGTTTTAGCGGCTCTTCGGCAGCATTTGCACTAGCTGTATACAGTAATACTACCGGCTTCACCGATCCACTGGCAAAGATTGCGGCTTAGAAAAGTATGTGCTGTGATTGGGCTTGCACGGGACTTGTTCGCGATAACCTCTATCTTATCGAAATCTTGGAACAAAGGCCCGCAGAGATGAGATCCATTTTCTTATCTGTCGGGGCGGGCTCGGCATTGACGATGCCGTAATGAGGAGTGGAAAATTTATCTTAAGGCTGGGAATTTCCTCGTTTCTTCCTCGTCATTGAAACTATTGTTCTTCTTCATTACGTTCGATTTCAGCTTTTCAAAATGTCTAATCCTGTGTATACTTTGACCGAGGGTATGCTTGAGACTCGAATATCTACTGGCACAGCTAACTAGTGTAGGTCAGCCTGTTCGCGACCCCTCAGTGAGCACTACCCTCCCCGTCTTTGGCGGCGGTGGTCTCACGACTCTTGGTGATACTCTTCTCCTTGAGACTCTGGCCCATTTCAGCCGAGAGCGCATTCCTGAGCGGCAAGTCTCCCATTTAATTCTACCTTCACTTGTCCATAAGGACTCAACTAACAGTCATGGCAGAGTCGTCCACGCCAAAGCTGCTGGTGCCTGGGGAGAGTTCGAGGTCACTAACCCTGAAATCGCTCAATTGACTTGCGCCAAGTTCCTCGACACCGCTGGCAAGAAGACCCAAGTCCTCTTCCGTCTCAGCACCACTGGTGGTGAGAAGGGCAGCGCCGATACTGTTCGCGATGTCCGAGGTTTCTCTGTCAAGTTCTTTACTGAGGAAGGAAACTACGACATTGTTGGGAACCATGTTGTAAGTCTCAATTCTGTGATTGATGTTAGTTCTTGAACTGATCCAGTAGCCTGTCTTCTTTGTCCGCGATCCCATGCGATTCCCTTCATTGAACCGCAGCCACAAGCGACATCCCGCCACCAACCGACCTGATGCTACCATGGTGAGCCGTCCGAGTCTGGTGATATGACTACACGATCTAATGTTCTTAGTTCTGGGACTTTCACGTCAACCAACCCGAGAGTGTACACACCCTGATGCACCTCTTCGGCAGCCGCGGCCTTCCCGACTCCATCCGCCGCGTCACTGGCTTCGGCGTCCACACCTTCAAGCTGATTGACGGCTCTGGCCGTCCCCGATACTGCAAATTCCACTTCCGTCCCGAGACTGGCCACACCAGCTTCGCTTCCGCTGAAGAAGCTGAGAAGAAAGCTGGTGCTAATGCTGATTACCATACTGAGGATCTTTGGAATGCTATTGCCCGAGGCGAGTATCCTGTCTGGAAGTTGTATGTTCAGATCATGGAGCCTGAGAGAGCTGAGACCTTTGGTCGGGCTTTGTTCGACATTACCAAGATTTGGTCTCATAAGGAGTTTCCTTTGATTGAGGTCGGAAAGATGACCCTGAACAAGAACGTAAGCTTATTATTGGATGACAAGGAGGAGCTGAGTGCTGATAAATTGTAGCCCGACAACTACTTCGCTGAGATTGAGCAAGCTGCCTTCTCACCATCGAACTTGGTTCCTGGTATCGCCATGACTCCCGATCCCATGCTTCAGGCTCGCATGTTCGCCTATCCCGACGCCCAGCGATACCGCCTCGGCTCCAACTACGCCCAACTCCCTCCCAACCGCCCTATCGTACCCGTCTACGCCCCCTTCGTCCGCGACGGTATCACCACCACCAAGAACTACGGTGGCGACCCCAACTACGTTCGAAGCACTCTCAGCCCCGGCGTCACCACCCAATCCATCACTCAGATCACACACCACGAGCGTATTGCTGCCAACGCACTGCTCGGTCTGAACGAGATCCCCGTTGACGATGAGGACTTTGTTCAGCCTCGGGATCTGTGGAGGAGAGTCTTTGATGATGCTGAGAAGGAGAAGTTTGTGGGTAATGTTGTTGGAAGCTTGGCTGGTACACCAACTCCTTTGAGGGAGGCTGTCGTTGCTATGTTTAGCAAGGTTGATGGTGAGATTGGTCAGCGGATGATGGCCAAGATCAAGGAGGACGCTACTCACCTTTAGACGTTGAGGAGTGTGAACTTATGGCTTAGACTTAATAAGATAGATCAGCGATAGACGTATAGATGCTTAGAATAGACCTCTTCGTTTCGAAAATCATAATAGTTGGTAATTACCGGGATATGCAACAGTTCAATTGTTCCTCGGACAACAGTATCTTATCGCATATCTCTCCAAGAATTCTTGCAAACCAATAGCGAGAAGGCAAGTCTGCCACTGATTCCTTGAGATCTTACACACCCCAAGGGAATGAGAGTCAGATGATGTCAGTGGTAATACTTGGCGTAATGCTGACTGCTGATCACCAACGACCGTCTATATAAGAAAGCCACTGGCCACGGAGGTTCTTACAGTCTACTTCTAATAGGCTCTGTAAAGTTTGCTGTACCAAGACCCTCTATAAGACCATCTATTACAATGACATCAACACTCCCTGATATCGACTCAAAAGTCCGAAAAGCACTAGAGGGAACTAAGTTTGAGGTCTCAGAACTCATGGAGATCACGGGTGGATCTGTCAATTGGATCTACAAAGCGAAACTTTTGAAGCCTCTGGATAACGGAGAGGAGGAGGTCCTAGTCAAGCACGGAGAGCGGTATATGGCGTCCAAGCCAGAGTCTGCGCTTCCTCCAATCCGTCGTGTTATTGAGACAGAGAGTCTCAAGATCCTGTCGAGCGTCTCATTATTCGACAATCGACCGAAAGAAACGTATAGTTTCATTGTACGAACACCAGAGCTATACCATTTTGACCCGACCAGCTCGACTCAGATATTGGAATCCATGCCTGATGGTATTCATTTAAAGGACTATGCCATTCAAAACTATGGCTCTCCAACGCCAGATGCATTTAAACCCCAGTGCCAGGAACTCGGAAAAGCAATTGGCAAATGGCTACAGGAGTTCGCCATATGGAGTGGACAACAAGTGCAACACCGAGACCTCGTCGCCCAGAACGCGTTTGGTCAACATGTGAGGCACATGGTGAACTAGGCATGGCTTCATGAACGGATCAATGAATATCCAAGAATACTTAAAGAGGCGAAGGATATCCTTACGCAAGTAGAGCAGATGGCCGCAGCAGAAAAAGAAGACACAGATAAGCTCCAGATTATCCATGGAGACTTTTGGACCGGAAAGTAAGTCCATGATCCTCTCTTGTGACTTGAAAGCTGACTTGGGCAGTGTTGTTCTCCCCGACGCTGCGATAAAAGAAGGCACGAAGATTCCGGTGTTTGTCGTGGACTGGGAAATGACGCAGCTGGGTCTGCCCAGTGTAGACGTTGGGCAAATGATCGCCGAAATGTACGCGTTGTCGCTATACAAGTCAGTCGACGCGGGGTTATGGATGATGGGAGGATTTATCGAAGGATATGGGGATATCAGTGAAGACTTTGCTTTTCGGACCGCTATACACGTTGGAACACATCTAGTTTGCGTTACTACTGACTTCCCAGCGTGGGGGCATGAGAACTACGCGAGAGTTGTTGAGGTTGGAAGAGATATCATTGTGCATGCTTGGGAGAAGGACCGTGACTGGTTCCAAAAGGGAGACTTGGCTTGTCTGTTCCAAAGCTACTCTTGCCAATGAAATTTTGGGGAGCATAGGGTGGCGGTTCTTTCTGGGTACTATAACCATCTTGTCAACCATACTCCCGAGTCCTGTGTCTCGCTGGTTGATGGTGCTTTGTCTGATTCTGTGATACTACTACCGAAAGTAACGTCATCCAGCCCATGGCGGAGCTCGAAGCTTCCACGGATCGAGAAATAGCCTGAGGATCAAGTAAATAGAGTGGCCTAGGCTCAACAAGCCTGAGCGCGGACAGGTCGAGGTCACACGGCTGATGATGAGGCGGGATGGAGTAGCAATAATGAGTGTAATGTGGAAAAAAAGTGTCTGTTCTTTATCGGGTAATCAATTGACCTGTTCCAAATCCTACATTTATGATATTAGCTCATATAATTAACACGAGGCGAACGAGTATCAAGAAAGGGAGTAGCTTAGGGATAACGGCCGTAGGGCGAAATAATAGAGCCGAGAAAGATTTATAGTTTAGGAGCGGCAAATTATGGAGTACGAGCCGCTGCTACCGTTACATAAAGCTGCAGGCATATACCCAGCCAGTTGGGACGGCTCACGTGCGCATTGACCTTAAGAAATTGGATGTCACTTACTCCTTTTACAAACTTGCAAAAGTTGGTGACATAGCGCCATGGTAGAGGCTGGGATACAGTACACTTTCACCAACTATGAATTATATGAACCAGTGACTGGAGGCCTATAATAAGAAAATAAAGGTTAGCTAGGCTTGAAACAGTAACTCTGCTATTAAGAGATGGCAACTGTAACGTGAAAAGGAGCAGCCTTACGAAACACATGGTACTGATCTCGATCTCGAACCATGAGAACTCAGTATGTAGTACTTGTCGGAACCCGGCGAGAAAGCAATTAAACTGGCGCTTTGGTATTTTCGGGTCGTATTGACATTTATTAAACGGCTGATGGTGTATGAGTGCCGAAGCTAAAATCCCGCCTTACCCGACTACGTGGTGCAACTTGTAAACTCTATTAAGTCCCCGGTGAACTATGTGTAGGCAGGGTACTAAGGATACGGGCTGGAATATGTCACCCCTTATCTTATAAATATAGATAATAACTGCTGGAAATGACTTTCAAGAACAACAACACTGACCCTAAACTCCTTCAAAAATTCCATCAAGAAGAACAATGTTGATCTTCAAGTCCATCATCCTTTCTTGTCTCCTTTTCGGAGCTGTTCAAGGGTAAGTAGACACACCATACTAGATGTAAAGGGAGCCTAGCTAATATGCTGCGACTTATAAGACTTACTGCTGAACAGAAGGCCACGGATCCAAAGAACCATAAGCCAACAGATCAGCCACATCTCGCAAAGCGTTCAGTGACGACGGATCACGCGAAACTGGCACGACGTACGATCGACAAGCCTAGCAAGCCGACTATTCACCCGAGACTGGTAGAGCACTTGATGCATGAGCGTTTCAATGAATCTCTTGCCTAATAAGGGACAGATAGTTCTCACATAGTGAGTGTTGAAGGGCTAAGATGTTTAAGTTAGGATGACTAACTGAGTTGAGGTTGCGACACTGTTGGCTTGTCAAAAAGTGGTTGTGAAGAAGAGGGTAGCCTGGGTGATTCTGGCAAGAATTATTAATTCATATTGTACATTGAACAAGTCTTTGTTATAAGATAGCGGCCAGGATGCCTTTAATTGTTTATGAAACATGGCTTCTTGTGAAATGATCTATAATAAACTGTTGCAATCTAATTGTGTACCGGACCTAATAAATGAAGTAAATTGTCGAAATAGCATCCTCAACGCCTTGAAACCAAGTGACCCTCACCCGAACCCATGACCAAATTCTGAGACGCAAGGAAATAAGAAAAACCAGCCTTCTTCGCCTTGCCAAACCAGTCTAAAATGGAAATACTAGGAAGCTTGTTCAAACTATCGTCAGCGCGCACAACGGCTGCAAAATCCTCCACGGAAGCGCGTTGATGTGCTTCATGTTGCACAACGTTGTATCCTTCTCCCCCAGCAGTCGAGCTTAGCACAGCGTCTTGGATGTCATTGACGATGACATCGGTAGGGAGTACATCTACTGAGCCAGTGACACCCTCGAAAGATGGTCGGACGCCGAGAGACTTGACGATGCTGAAGAGTTCCTCGACGATCGAGCCTTGATCTGCTTTTGGTTGCGACGTGTTGCTCTTGGTCGGACGGTGTGCGTAGACGGGAATGCCGATTGAACTAGTAGCGTTTCGCAGCAATGTCTCTGAAGCCCACTTTGTAGCCACGTAACCATCGCTACCATCAGTCGGCGGTGTCTGATCATCTCCCTCATACGTCTTGACAGCTCCAGATGACAAGAAGTGCACTGGTATCGAGCGGCCAGAAGAAGCGGCGAACCTCACCAACTCTTTCACGGAGTCCACGTTATCTGGTTTGAGAACTTCGTATCTGTCCCAGAAAGACCGATTGGCTGCAGAGTGAATGATCACATCTGTTTCCTCAGTAAGACGAGAGTAAGTTGAGTCGGAAAGGCCAAGGTTGGGCTTCGAAAGGTCGCTCTCGATAACTCTGACTTTGCTGCTTGAGCTCGTACTCAGCTTTTCGTTGTTCACTGAGCGTACCAGGCAATGAATGCGAGTAACTCGAGGATCTTCGACGAGGGCTGGTACGAGATGACGACCGAGGTAACCCGCGGAGCCAGTAAGAAGGACCGTGATGTCGGTAATCTTGTTCACAGGACGCAACGCTGCATCCCTTTGAAGATCATCTGGAAGCACGGTCTCTCGGTCCCAATCAATCACACCTACAGATCCACAGCTCTCAAGGACAACAGCCATTGCACCGAGCGTACTAGCGCCCATAAGCGCAACTAGCTTCGGCGCCGTCTTGAAAGTCTGTCGCAGCAACGCCTGCAGCTTCACCAGAAGGATTGAGTTCCCTCCAATGAGGAAGAAGTCAGACTCTGGGGTAAGAGACCCAGGATCAAGAGGCAAGACTCGACGCCAAAGCTCACTCAGTGTTCGTTCAGCGAAAGTTAGAGCTCCAGAGTCGTGGGAGGCGGAGATCTGGACGGGCATTTCTTGAATGGCCTTTATGTCGATCTTGAGATGGGCGGTTCGTGGAATGTCGGAAAGGATCTGGAAGACGGAAGGGCGCATGTAGGGAGGGAGAGGAAGGGTTTGAAGGAGGGCTTTCATGATGCTTTCTCGATTATGCTCTGGGAATTCGGGAGCAAAGACAACATGGGCTGCGAGGTAGCGACCCTCCTCAGTGCCTCGCAGGGTAACTACTGCGTGAGAGAGTGCGCCAGCCGAGTGACTGATGATAGTCTTTTCCACTTCATCTAACTCGACTCGGAACCCTCGAAGCTTGATCATGTTGCTGCCTTCAAGGCGACCATCACAGAACAGCAAACCGTCATGACACAGACGCCCACGATCTCCACTGCGATATACCTTTCCACCAGTTCCGAAGAAACTGTCCGGCAAGAACTTGTCTTTGGTGGAGTCAGGCATGTTGAGATAGCCAGAGACGATACATGGGCCACCGAGGACAATCTCACCCTGGACACCAAGAGGAACAGGGCGCATCTTCTCATCGACGATGCAGACGGAGAAGCCAGGCATGGGGTAACCTGCTGGAAGGGGATCTGGAAGATCAGGGTCTGTGTACTTGAGGTCAATGCGATGGGAGAGGATTGTCGTCTCAGCTGGTCCATAGCCATTGAAGACGTGAAGATTCTTTAGGTTCAACGTTCCAAACTCGCGGGCAAGTTTGTGGCTCATCGCTTCGCCGCCAGAAAAAGCATATTTCCACGAAGTGCATTGTCGTAGGGTACTGGTACTGTATCTGAGCCACAGATCATACTCAGAAGGTGTAGCAGTAGTGTATGTAACACCCTCTCTGATCATGATCTTGCTGATCTCATCGGGATCGCCTCTCTTGCTTGCTGGTACGATGCAGAGGCATCCACCATTCGCCAAAGCAGCCACGGTCTGATCAAGTGAAAAGTCGAAACTGAAGGGACTCTGCTGAAGTACCACGAGATTCTCATCCGGTTTGGAGAAAGTCTTGCTTGAGACTTCGGCGTAGGACATGAGATTGGTATGTGTCATCATGAGACCCTTGGGCTCACCTGTAGAGCCGCTAGTGAAGAGAATAACAGCGAGAGATCCAACTTTTGCACGGTTCGGCTCTTTGAACTCCTGATCCACCACATTGGATAGTCGAAGCTGGGTAATGAACTTGGCGCCAATGAGCTCAACCTTGTCATCAGTGGTATGATCCGTGATGATGACCGAAGGCCGAGAGGCTTTGACGATGCTAGTCAAACGAGGAATGGAGTTGCGTAGATCGAGAGGAACGTAGACTGCTCCAGCTTTGAAGATGGCGAGGAGGGAGCAGATCCAGTCGGAGGAGGGTTCTTGGAAGACTCCGACTACTGTGCCTTGAGTAGTTCCAGCGTCGATGAGTGCTTGGGCGATGGAGTCGATGCGCTTGCCCATTTGCTCATACGTGAGTACGGCACCATTACCGTCCTTGAGAGCGACTTTGGTAGTGTTGGTCTGGATGATCTGGTCAAGGTGATGGCTGATGGTTGACTGCCACTTTGGTTGAAAGTCAGGTGCTAATAAAATGGTCAGTACCTGCTACTCTACACCAAGAGCTGGGAGATGGAAGTGACTTACCCTTTCCGGCATCTAAAGCGACCTGTATATCATCCTTCGACCACGCTGGCGCAGCATCGGCAGCCTTGTTAGTCCCTTGGACCATGTACTCCAACACACTCAAGTACGAGCGAAGTAGAAGCGCAGTGTGCTCCTCAGAGTAAAGCTGCTTCTGAAGTCTCAAACCCAAAATAGTATCACTCGTGATATTCTCGTTAACCTCCAAGGCAATGTCATATCCCGTCCCAGCATTATGCCACTTCTCCCCATGGAGCTTGCAGCCTCCCCACGACGATCGTTCCTGAACAACCTGTCTATAGTCCATGAAGACCTGGAATATAGGCGTGTACTTGTCAGATCTCGGAACGTTTAGTTCCCGAAGAAGAACGTCAAAGGGCAGCTGGGAGTGCTGAAGTGCTCCGTATGCTGTGTCGCGAGCTGTCTGGATGATGGAGCCGAGTTGAGTACCGCGCCTCTTTCGGCGGAAGCGTAGAGGGAGGAGGTTTAGGAAGAAGCCGAGACTGCCCATGAACTTCTTATCGCCGCGATTGGCGTCGGCGATACCGATGAAGACTTCTTCTGCGTTAGGAAGGAGTGTGAAGAGAAGAAGCTCCAAGGCCGCAAGGTAGACATGGAATGAAGTTGAGAGATTGACGCGGGCGAGTTGTCGAACCTTGGTAGCTAGTTCTGTATTAATACTAATCTTGGCGAAATGTTGAGAATATTCGTTGGCGAGCTGTCTCGCAGAGCTGATAGCGAAGGGAAAAAGCTGAATAGGGGTGAACTCTTTGGGAAAGTTTCGTCGATAGTACTCAATGGACTTTGCGAGATCCCCATTTGCATACATCTGTCGTTGCTGAAGTGCAAAGGATCGATACTGTGACTCGACTGGAAGAGAAGGGAGCGTGTGCTTTGTGTAAGCAACTTCAAGGTCCTTGAAGAACACACTGAAGCTGTATCCATCGATGTAAATGTGATGCATACCCAACAAAAGAAAATGAACATTATCCGATAACGACAGTAAAGTGATTTTGACTCCTTCACCACTACTCAAATCCCACTCCTCATCATGAAGCTTCTTCAACTCCATCTCCGCTTCACCCTCGTCAACGACCTTCTTCGTCGACAACTTAAGTTCCGCAGGGTTAATACCCTGCAAAGGCGTCCTCTCATCACCATCATCACCCCAAAAGAACCTCGTCCTCAAAATCTCATGCCGTTCCGCAACGAGATTCACAGCCTTCTCCAGAGCCTGCAGGCGGATCTGGCCCGTGAGCTTCAACATGACAGCCATGTTGAACGCCCTCTTGTCGACGAGGTAATCGTTTAGAAACCAGAAGCCTGCTTGACCGTAGGACATGATGCTGGACAGCTCGTTAGGAAAGGTCTTTAGGGGAGTGGAGTTGTCCGTACTGTCTTCCGCTTTAGCAGGTTCTTGGCTCTCCATTGACGTGAGGGGCGTGTCGATTGGTGAGCGGGAGGAGTCTGAGCCGGTTTGCTGCTTGCTATCGTCACTTGTGCTGTGGGAGCTCTCTGGAGGTGTGACGCGGGTTGTTTGAAGGGTGGGCTTGGGGGGTTGAATGGTTGTCGCGCTGCCTGCTTCGAGGGAGGAAACGTCGAGGATGGAGTCGGAGATGAGGTTGAGAGATTCTTCGATGAGGTCGGGAACGGACATTCCACCGAGGATCTTGAGGACAGGAATGTCAACGTCGAGTTCTTTGATGAACCAAGAGCGGATTTCGACGGCCATCAAAGAGTCAACACCTTGTTCGACAAGGGTGACCTTTTCGTTGATGATCTCATCTGGCCCAACAGCCAACA